AGAACCCTTCTGAACAAAGCAAATCTCACACTGTTATGGGCAGATAATGATTCCCCTGAACCTTCAAAATACTACATTATTAACTACAGTTACAATGAAAAAATTCACTAACTCCTCTTGAGAATTAAAATTATCTAAACACAGTAAACTCATCCAAGTGGACCTCACATTTCTAAAGCAAGTCATTTTCCTAAACCTGACAGAGTGGTGCCAAAAGAATTCCTGCAGCTCAACCTACTCTGGCATAAACCTTCTGCCACAGCTGTCAGGCCCCTCCCTGTTTCCCTTTCTTTGTTCCTATGGCTGACTTTAAGTGGTTTCTGTGTAAGTAAATCATGTATTTACTGTATTCACAGGCAACTAATCACCTCTGTCAGTAAAGGGAGACTCACACATGATGAAATATTACCTTTGTAATTCATCACATTTTTGTCCTGATATCCACTTATGCAATATGGAAAACAGGGAAAAAAAAAAAAAGAAAAAATAAGAAAAAGGAAGAAAAAAGGAAAAAAAAAAAAAGACAGGACTGTGGAGGGATTAAATGCAAAGGACAAATGAAGAATATATCAAGAATTAAAAAAGAGTAATAAAATGTGGCCACACCAAGAAAGTTAGAATCAGACTGAGAACAACCTGAGATTGCAAACCAAAGAAAAAAGATAACAGATACACCAACTGGCTTGAAGGACCAAAACTACTAGAGAACAGAAGCTCTTTTACTGCTGAGGCACTAGCAATATTTGGGATGATTATAACTTTCCTAAAGTTTTATTTCCCATTTATAGGCAATGACACATGAAGTTCCAGCATGGAATTTTGAATTAGTTGGTTGATTTGAAAGAGAACTAGTACTTCATACATCAGTCAGAAATCCCTATGGTCACATATGCCACCGGTAGTAATCTTACTCCCAAATTTTTTACTGTGTTTTAGGGAGTCATCACATAAGTACCGACCTTTCCTCTTCCCTGTAGATTAAATGTTGCCTTTCACAGATGCAAACAATGAAGAGACACAAATGCAATATATGACAACAAAGCACACACAAGTGTTTAGTCTAACGTCATAGGAGCATTTTCATGACGAAAGTTACTCAAAATTGGGAATACTGGTTTATGACCAATTTGCTAATCTGTTTGTTCCATAGTCCAAACACTGCCAGTTCCCATCTGGAGGGCTGGTTGGAGGCAGGCAGCACTGCCTGGTACAAAGGCACATATCTGGGGTAAAGGCAAATGCCCAGCTTACACTCACATTCACAACACAGGAAAGGACCAAACTAGCAGCAGATCATTCCTTAGATTGCCATTTGCCTTCCAGTCCCAAGGGAGACCTAGAAAAGAGCTATTTTGTTGACTGCCAAGGGTTGCATGGCCCCTTCTTTCCCACTGCCCCTCATAGAGAGGTGCCATCTCTTGAGCACTGAGGCCTGAAGGACTGGGGAGAGAAGGACCTTCCTTCCATCAAGCTGCTGCCTTCCCCACCTGGCAAGAGACACTCCCATCAGCTGTCCTGCCTTCCACAGATGGGAAGGGACACCCACAGCCATGCAGAAGGTGATCTTCCACCACCACTCAAGCCTTGACTCCAGACCATCACCAGCATCAGCCCCATCAGTGCCCTGAGTCACACTAGAGATGCTACCACCAGCAGCATCCCCAGAGCTGGAATTTGTCCTGCTGAGCACACAGCAGAGCTCCTACAGCCATCCCCTTCTCCTGCCCATGCTCACCCAGATGGTTACTGAGGGAGGCTGTCACAAGCCTTGCTCAAGTCAGAGCAAGTGGCAGTCACTGCTGTCCCCTGGTCCTCCTTTGAGGACAGTCACCACCTCAAAGCCAGGCTCATGCTTTTCCCAGCACAACTTATCCTTGTGGAGCTGTGCTGGCTGGTGCTTCCAAGTGATCTTCTGTCCTTCCCAGCTCTGCCTTTGTACCACTAGGTTTGCCAAACAAGCTCTTGGCTCAGGCATAGCATGATGTTCTTGTCAAATCCCTGCTCAATCCCACCACCTGATACATGCTACTGGCATTTTGCTTCTCTGGCATCCTGGATGAATAAATTTCCTATCAAAGGCCAGCAGGGCAATTCATCCCACGGTTTGCAGCAGGCAGTTCTTGGATTACACTCAGCTTCTTCAAAACTCCTATAGGGTCACCACAGCTGCATCTGTTTTTTCCCACTACTCAAGTTCAAATTTATAATCTGTGGTGTTTTGACAGAAACAGTGAGATTCAACACTTGGCTCAAAGCAGCCTGGAAAGCTGCTCTTACCCCTATACAGCACATAAATCTATTTGTGTGCACAGAGAACTGCCACTGTATTTGCAAACTCACCATCAAAGGAGTTAGAAAAGTATTTATAAAATTTATAGCTATTTATAGTCTAGAAAATAAAAAACACAGCACAGTTCCGATGAGAGAAACTGATATGGGAAAAGGTCTTTGTTATAGAGCTTGCTGGGTAACATCTTTGAATTAAGGGATTTCAACAGAAACAAGTTGCCAATTGCCCTCCTCTTCTTTCCCCCTTGCTCTTTTCCTCTGAAAAAAATGGCAAAGCACACAAGGGAACAGACTTCCTTTATTACATCTAAGTTTCCTAGCGCATTTCACAAACAGATTTTAAGTAAAAGAGCACAGAAGTGACTGGCAACATGGAGGATGATTATTCTTATGTCATTTGGTTTATGAGCAATAGAGAGATTAGATCTGTCTCTTGCCAGGAGGACCCCTGCCCTCTAGACAGGACTAGTTAGATGCTGTCTTAGCTTTGTGCACATGCTATGTCCTGGTGAAGAGTGGTGGGAGCTAGAACACAGTTCGTGATCTTTGAGATTCATTAACTGAATCTTCTTGGTCAACCTGAAAGCATGGATATTTTGAGGGTGAATGCATATTGTGTAATGATATCATAATCTAATAATGAAAGCAAACTACAGATGTTTCACTATTTGATAATTTGTAACAAAAATGGAGCCTCTTCCATCCTTCCATCAAGCACTAATATCCACTTTGCATGCCATTTGCAGATGACATGAAGAAGCCATTTTTATGTTCCTAACTCTGCAGCAACAACTCATCTCTGAAAAGAAAGAATAGTTGCTACTTAGGGACAAAAGAAAGGGCTTGAAGTAGCAATTGTTTTTCATATGACAACAGATTGGGCTTGCACAAATTAATGAGAAATTGTTACTACACTTACCATATTTATATACTGAAGATCACAATAAGTTTTGAGTGGAATACAAGCTAACTGAGAATCATTAGGATACATTCTTGGGTACAACTGAGAAGTGAGGAACTTCCGAAAATCTCAGAAGATAAAGAATTCAAATAAGGCACCAGGTACAGGCTACTCCAATCAAATATGAGTGACTGATTCAGGCTACCTTAGTGAATACACAGACCGAGGTCCCTTGTGTATGACAAGCTGCTTCCCATTCCACATTGCCCATTCTCCAGACACCAGCTTTCTCTCCTCATATTTGCAGTTACTGATGCATGCTGGCTCTTTCCTACTCGTTTTCCCGTGGCTTCTCTAAAATTATTTTCTTTCTTTCCTCCACTCCAGTTCTGAGAAATACCTTGGGTCACCTGTGTCACATACCTGTAAACTTGTAACTGCATTTAATACAATCATCCTCACACTGCATCCATGCCCAGACAAACCATATTCTACTTTTCCACACTGTTCACCTCTACCCTGGGCTAAAGAGAACAATTTGTGAGACTAATATCAGTTTCTAAATCCACTCACACTATTCAGAAAAGATAGAACTGAGATACTAACCATGTGATCAATGAAAACTCAATAGCAGTCACTCAAGAGAAAGGCTATTAACTTTTTGGCAGAATTCCAAATCTGTTGCTTTTTACCTGAATTGCCCCTTCATTTCAAATGACTACAGCAGTTAGCATTCTTGTTCAAGATCCTACACAATATAATACAAACTTGCCATTGTTAAAATGGCAAACATTTAGCAATGAGTTTGGAAAGTAGCTCTAGTACCTCTCCAGTTTAAAGCCTACTCATGTACTGTATGTATGCACAAGATGACACAGAAAGCAGTGGTGTTGCTTTGATACAGAATTCAGCAGAAGGTCTGTTCAATTTGCCCAGACCATCAACTTTTTTGAAAAAGTAAACTATGACTTAAACACCTTATTTAAAATCCAGTTTATTACATTACCAGCATGTTAGTGTTTCAAGCTGCTAACAGGTGAAAGCTGATTATTTTATTAATCTGTGATGAATGAACTCTACTGCACCACCCCAAAAATAGCTTTACTGTGATATCTTTGTGAACTACATTTAAAAACATTAAAAAATTCTCTTTTAATTTCTAAAGTAGTTTATAGCCAACACACAAAAATGGTGACTCAGCAGGAAACACTGTGGATGCACTCTGTAGGTGCAGCACAGTAGTGTTCCAACTGTGATAAGGACAGCGCTCCCCTGGTGTTCCCTTTGATGTAATTTGCTTTATGGAGATCATGAACTAGATTTCTTTCAGGTGAAACTGAACTGGAAAATATTCTCCAGAAGCATATCTAATGCATTCCAGGTACAAATGGGTACTTATTCTCCAATATTAGACAAAATACTTCAAACTAAATAATTCTGAAATGTGTACAGCACTGACGTCAGGTCCTCCCATTTCTACTGTTTTGCTGTATGCATCTGCTCCTACTGAGCTATACCAGCTGTTACTGCCAACACAACTCCAAACACTGCTTCCTGATGAGTTAGGGATGTCATGGATGTAGCAGTTTTACAAAACACTACTATTCATAACAAGGCAGACCTTTGAAAATTGTTAGCCAAGTCCAATCAAATTAAAATCAAAGGGGAAAAAATCATCAATTCTAGGTTCTTAAAAGCATTTTTGCGACTCATATTTGAAACACAAGCTGTTGCAACTGTTAATTATTTGCAGCTGAACATCAAATTTAAAGCAGAAATTTAAACAAAGGGTAAGAAATCAGCAATTTACCTTATTGCTTCCTCCACAGATTGGCCAACTATATTTGAGGAGGGACCTGGCTGAGACAAAGGTGTCAGGCTTATCACCCATTTTACTGGCTTGTAATACTCATCACTGGAGCTTAACAGGTAGAACAGCGTGGTCAGAAAAATCACCTGCAAAACAAATTGGAGTTTTAAATTACAAGGAAAAAATACAGCATTAGAGTATGCAGCTATGCTTCAGATATTGAATTTTACTGAAAAGGAAGAAGATACTCTTCCACAAGCCTGGATTTAGAAAAACAGAGTTGAAAGAATTATTTACTCCCTTGCTCCAAAAAGGACCTAACATTTACAGCCAGACATTATAAAACTTCCGCCTCTGTTCAGCTCCTTTCCAAAGTCACATCTAGACCAAACAACTAGAGTGCTGATAAACATTACAGTTGTGGGGCTCTTTGGTTCCTTTTCAGCATGTTTAATCAAAAAATTTCAGCATGTTGCAGATCAAAAAATTGCTGAATAGTTACATCTATTCTCCAAACAAGCAAACAAAACTGCCAAATAAATTTGGGCTGTCTCAAGAGTCATTATGCAGCTGGGTATCAGATATGAATTACACAAAAATTCACAACCATAAATTTTATGTTAAGCTGGCAATCCTAAGTGAATATTCCTCCTGTGAGTTTGATGATGAGTCTCAGCGGAAGTGATGGCAGTTCCACTGCTTCAGTTAAAAGACAAAGAAATTATTATCAGATTGGATTAGCTTCCTCTATGTTGCAGTCAACTATGTTTCTCTTATCTTCCTGTTAGTGGGCTCAGCAATTTCTTGGGTAAGAATGAATCACAGAACTGTGTCTATCTTGAAACAGAATACCTCAAACAAGAAAAATCCATTCTGTATTCTCCAAACCTAAACTATAGCTTATATTTGTTTTATGTACACAACTCAGATATTTTTTCTTTCCTCCCAAGATTAGAAAGAATTCTTTTACTTTCTTTGTTTCCAACCTACTTGTATTCTAGAATAAACCACATCTTAATCTTTTCTTTATGAGCCAAACAGCCTGATCTCCATAAGTCTCTTACTTTCAAGCATTTTATCCAGTTTGCAGACACCTCATGCTCTTTTCCTTCACTGCCTCTGAAGATGCTCAGAAAACAAAATGCAAACAGCATTGCAATATTTCATTACCGATCTCAAAATGACATCTGTCTCTGCTCCTAATTTCTTTATACTCAGTAAAATGCTACTAGCATTTTCCTCCTACTCTGCCCTCCCAAACTTAAACTTGAAAGTCACATTCAACTATTAACCTCTAATGACCCCCCATCCAAATTGCCATATATTGGTTTAGGCTATATTCCATCTCCCCAGGTGTTTAATTTCTGCCTTGGGAGATAAACCAATCTAGCTAATAAAACAAGTTATTATATTAGCAGATTTTAATAGCATGCTGTTAACACTAATTTTGAGCTTAAAAAAAAAATAATAATAATTAAGCCTTGCTTTAACGAGAGATAATCTAGCGCCAGTAGCAGTATCATCTATGTTTTGCTACAGCTTCAAGTAAGAGAATCTTAAATCACACTTTAACATCTCTTGTAATTCTGAAATTATGGCTATCTTTCTTCCTTGATAGGCTCTGCCATTTCTAAGCTACTATATTTCCTGATTTCAGTAGAAAATTCTATACTGAAGCAGCAGGCACCCAGATGATGTTGTGTCTTCCTTCCACTGAGCAGATCCTTCTGCAAATGCAGTTTTCAACACAGAGAGCAGCATATTACCCTAAGCACAGTAAGTATAATGTCTGCTTATCCTGACTGCTCTTCCCCAGTGTTTACAGAAGAAACTTGCTTTCTTAAGGAGACACAAGATAGACATAGCCACCTGAAGAGTGAAAGCCAAAGCGAGGGCTGGGAATGAACAGCAGTGGAATAAAATAGCAATGAGCTGAACTACAAGACAGAAAAACTTACTAATCCTACTCAATTTCTGCTAAAAGAAGATGGATCTAACCACAGCACCACACAAAATTAATTCTGGAATTTTGGAGTATCTGTCTTTTAGGAAATTAATGCATTTCCTTTAGCACAATAGATGTAGAAATGCAAAAAAGAACCCATAGTCACAGAATATAATAATGTATTATCAAATGGCTTGCTGACTCTTCCAACAAGTAGAATAACCTCAATACTACATTCAGCAGCAAAAGATATATACTGTTTTAGAGCAACTGGAGGCTAAAAGCTTTCAGACCTCTTGTACAGGATATCTGAGGTACCTAAATTGTTTCCTAAGCAACAATTCAAGATCCTGCTGATGACTATGAGAAAGAATTTACCAAAGACAAAACAGTATGACCTTTCCATAGTTAAACAATTGATGGATTACTACTTCACGCTGTAGAATTTGTCCTGTAGCTGAAAACATTAAATACTCTAAGTTGAAGAGGGATAGACTGAATTCAAGGAGAAAACTCTGGGTAAACACTCTCTACCAAAATGATAATTCAGTATTTCCACAGGTATCAAGAAACACACAACCTAATTGCTTGTGCATCAGGTCCATTGATTCAGTAAATATTTTTGTATCTACTTTTTATACTCAATTTTCTGCTGAAAAGGTTCAGGGTTTTTGTTTGTTGGGAGGTTTTTGCTTGTTTTGGGTTTTCTGGTTGTTTGTTTAGTTGTATGTTTAACAGCATCCAAAATCTGTGCATTCCCTGCAAGACTGTAGATGCCCATCAGCCAAATGAAGCTTTTTCTCTTCCAATCTTAGTAACAGAATATGAGCAGAGTGAGTGAGTGTGTGCACATGTGAGTACACACATGTGCATAATTCTACATCCACACAGAGGCATGTACATACATCCATGTGCACATGTGTGCAGACAGGAACTTGTATTCAGAAGTGAAATACAAGTGACACTTCTGTAACTAATGATCAGTTTTCAAAAGTCTGCTGAAAATCTGAACACAATCTTACTGGCTTGTGGATGGATGTGCTACACAGATTGACATTCCTACTTAATTTTTTGATGGAAGATTATTTTTCAAAATTGGGCTTTTGAACGAAGTGTCCATTATTTCCATGCTTTAAGGAACAAATTTTAAACCTAAAATAAAATTCAGTATTTTAATTTCTGTTCAAGATAGCTAAAACTGGATTGAAATGTAATCAGTACAAAAGCTAACCACTTTGAGCATTATCTTGTTGGAAAACCTAAGTTAGTGTGTGCCACCCCAAACTAGTAAAAACTTTTCTGTGGCAACTAGAAAACCTGAAAAATGAAAAAATAAAAGTACAGTTGAAGCATCTAACCATTAAAAGAATTCCAACACAGCAAGATCCCAACTACCTCTGCTAAACCAGCTGACTGCAGAAGTGCCCCAGCAAGAGGCAGGATGCTGCTGGAAGACAAAAGTCAGGATGATGCATCACAGCAACAGCACGCAATGAACTTGATCTAAGTGATTAGGCATCTAAAGATAAATTTTGTATCCGAGCCTGAGTGCCTTGAAATCACTGGCAATTATTTCCCAAGCTTGCAATTTTTGTATACTAACATTTTGGACACAGTTTTAAATGTGCCATCTTGGGTGAAGTTGTGGACTAAGGAAGAAATAAAATGCTCTCATGCAATCTATTTTTATGGAAGACAACTAGAGAACAAAATTAGTGATTTCCCTGGAAAAAATTTTTCCATCTCCTGAATGCAATGGCTTGTACAGGGATATGCTTAAGCAGACATGCCATAAGATTTCAGCAGTTATGTAGGACATTACAAGCTACAACTTAGTACCTTCAAAGCCTAAAACAAGAATTTCCCATTAACAAAATAGTGAAGAGACAGGAAGACTGACTACCTCCTAATCTTGCCCTCTGTCGAGAATGCCCCCAAACAGATAGAAAATTGGCAAAAGCTTACAGAATTTTGGTATTAGATAAGTTTAGAAGATGTTTTCAATGCTTTAGGTCTGAATTTTCATTGTTACAGTATGTGCAATTAGGTTACTCCAGTAAAATGGACCATGTAAATCAATGACACACTACTTACCACTGAAAGCACAAAATTGAGAAGAGCTGTCCCACTGTGGAAGAGGATTGTCACTAATGCTGTAACCGTAGTAAACAAGAGGCTCACATTGCGACTCATCACTATCCACAGAGACTCCAGGATCTGAAAAAGGAGAGAGAAGACAGATTTAGACACTGGATGCTATTAGCAAGGACAGAGAATTACTTGCTGAGTGATTAATCTCCATCAAGCTAAACAAAGATATCTTAAAAAAAAATCATCTTCCCTCACTCCTGTACTACAGCAGGTTCTAGCAAGCAAATATCCACTTTACCAGAGGTAAGTTTCTATGTAGCTGATTATAACGTTTTGGAATTTTTCTCTCAGTAGTCAAAATTATTTCATTGTGCGAAATTGAAAAAAAACTACATGTGGTGACACTCGTTTACTGTGATTAACATTCTTGCCAAGCATATCTTGTCTTGGGAGAAAATATTCACCTTTTCAAAAGCAGAAATGTTAAGACATGAAGAACAAGGAGTAACATCACACAAGGCAGAAATAAATATGATGCTCCCAATCAAATAATAAAATTACTACTTCAATATATTTGTTCTTAAAAGCTTTCATGGTAATGAAATGCATGTTTTTCGTAATACCTGCAGAGAAATGCAACAGTTGTGACTTTGAGTAAGGCTACATCAGTTAATCAAGTAATTATTAAAAACTAACAACTACTAGTCTTGGTTTAACAGATAGCAATTAGACCAAATTAAAACAAAACCATTCAACCAACAGCCCCTAAAACCAAGAAACCTTTCCTCAGCAGTCAGCAATTGTAGAGCAGACAAAGGAGCGTAAGCCATGTGATCACCTCTCCTTTAGAAGCGAGTGAATCATATTAAACATAATTTATTAAGCATGAACTTGAGAGGGAGTAAGTGCTGGAGGAAATGACAGGGAATTACAACACAGAAAGACCTACTTAGTTCATGCTTCCTACTCTTTAATGGGAATTATGAATGTTAAAGCTCATCTTTTGTACAGATGTTATTAATGTCTCTTGAGAATTCAAGTGAGGTTAGAAGTGAAGAGGACACTGCTGAAAAAATGTTCTCCCACTGGCACCTATCCCTTTGCTTCTTCTATTGACTACAAATTCATTCTGGGGGTGTAGCAGTGCTACGAATTCATGCAGCCCCATGGTAACATTATCATATGCACATTATGTTAGGAGGACTGTAGACACACAGGACAGTGAATTCTGAGGGAGGGCATGGTTTGTAGCTAAAGCAGAGGCCTTCCAGTTGGCATTCAGGAAGGATAGTGCAATCATTGTTAATAGCAGGCCTTAAGCTGTATTCAAGGTTCCCCTCCCAGATATTTAAGCTTGTTACTAGAACTTGGTGTGTGAACAGGAGCTTCTGTGCCACAGGTCGTCTGTTACAATGTGGAGCTTAATCACAGAACAGCAGCAACGGCCTTGAAAATAGGGACATAGGTTGAAAACAAAGGTCCCTGGAATAGGAGTCAAAGCAGTGCTTTGAGTAAGAAGGTGTTGAAGATGCACAACTTTGAGCTAGGAAGATTGCTCTTCCTTCAAGAAAATGAGGTAGGAACTAAGAAAGAGGGGAAAAACTACAATAGGCTAACAACAGGACAAGGCAGCTGTCATGACCTGGAAAAGTAGTACTTTTCCCATGTATCAGAGCACACAGTACAGGGCAGAGGCCAAGGGGCAGGAGCTGTCTGGAATAAGAACACCTTATGAAAGGACAAGCTCCTTAATCTGAGGGAAGAGGACATCCATTAAGTTCCAGCTCTGCATACCTAAAAGCTCTTCAGCCAGCTCATTTACACTCCTGTGACTCAGCCCATTAAGCACAGTCTCTATTGGTGACAACTACACCACCATATTGATGGTTTTTTAGCCTCACAGCTTATGTAGGACATGATTGCTAAGGACTGACCACTTTCAACACACAATGATAATGATTAGAAAACCATAGGCATGAAGTATGTGGTTAATGAAAAGTGGTCTAGTAAAGTTTTGCTCTAAAGAGTAAAACTACTTGATTTAACAGCCTTCTAACTAGTAATCACAGCAACTGTTAAAACCCTCACTTGCAACACATAAGCTGAGCTGTTACCAGTGAGAGATTACAAGGAGAGGAGCTTGTTCCATCTGCCAGAGGAGAGCACAGAATTGGTGGGACTGTGAAAGTTTTCAAAATAGGATGTTTCTCCAGTATAGGCAGGATTTATTGAACACTTTCCCTAGAAGCTTAAGCCTGAGGGCTGATAACCAGGAGTATACAACTGCAGGTAGTTTAAATATAGGTATCAGTTTGTTCCATTAACATCAGGAATGGCTGGAATGGCTCTCCTACATGAACATCCTTGTATCGTGGAGTCGTTGATTGGAACTGTTGAACCGGTTATCACCAGCATCTGCTTTAGAGTAAGGGTAGATAGTGCCTTTCTACAGCTTTGGTATGACTTAGGAAAGCAACTGCATCTTTTAGGACTCCAACTTTTAGTCTCCAACTACTGAGTATTCCTTGTTACTCATATGTATCATTAAAATTTCAAGATACAAGCTTTTCATTGCTAAGGTGAGAAGACAGACATAGCAGACACTAATCATTACTGAATACAGTGTCAAAACGTGCTCAAATACTTCCCTACAACTCACAAAATCAAATTACATGCAGCTGCATCTAAGAGTTCAGAACGCTGTTTGATTCCCAGAGCCTACTGCAGCTGAGTTGATGAGGTCACCTACTACACATAAAGAATTGCTACCACCTTGCCAGCTGAGTTCTCCAAAACACAACAAAGTGTGACTATGTATGCAACAATGTTACATTACTCTTAGTTACTTTTTTCCTATTAAATAACAGAAAACCACACCTCTTTCCCCAAACCACTGCTCAGTAAGCAGCTGTAAGGGATCAGTGTTTAAAAGAGCTACAAAGCTGTACAGAATTCAGGACTCTCTTACACATCACACTGTGCCACCATCAGCATCCGTTACTCTGCCTTTCCAATCTGTAACAGGCAAGAAAGAAAAATTGCACACAATATTCTCAGGCATCCAGAGTGTCCTCTTGGCCACTTTTAAACTGGTCAACACCTGAAAATGCGGGTTAAAAGGCATTTGATCAAAACAGTAATTTACTGAGAAGTTCAAGTCAGCAAACTTCTGGAAGCCAGATAAAAATGTACCTAACTCAATTCTGTATAAAGGGAATAAAACTGGATACAAAGATTAAAAAAACCCCAACAAGCTAGTTGACACATTACTGAAAAATGGACTGAATTAACTATAAACTTATGAGATTACTTGAAGAAACTACTGGAGCCAGAGAAAAATATTAGGATGTGTAGTAACTCAGTGAAATATTTGAGGAGCTGACTTGATTTAAAATGCACAGATCAGTCATGCTAAAAGCACAGGAAGGGAAACCTAACTAAGCTGAAGCCTGCTGTGAATATCTCTATGCAAGGTCTTCAGTCTTCCTGTCTGGGAGATATCTGAATGAGATACCACCTGCTGGTGAAATGATGAGTATTCTTGTGCAAGGAGCCAAAAGATCAAATTAAGAAGACATTAGCAATGTCTCATGTAACGTCAAGGGAGCTCTGAGTCATCATTCACAGATTTAGCCAGCAGCAATTCACTTTCTCAATGCTACAAGCATACAAGAAATGGAGAAAAAGGGCTATGAATGGAAAAACAGATGAGTGAAGAAAGAATGAGTCTTTTTTATTTTTCAGAAATTAAATCTTAATAGTCCAGCTCCATGCTGCCTATTTAATCCTTCTGATTAACTACCTTGGAGTGGAGTATGGGGTGCAAAATACAAGACAAAGTGAGGCTCCACTCTTGCTCTCTCTGCCAAGAATGAGATGAAATAAACCTCACTTCAGAAACACAGCACTGATTATATTATGCTGGTTTTTAACACTACTGCTCCTAATACTGGAAAAAGGCAGCAGTGCTGCTAACACCAAGGCTTTTAGAGAAAAAAAAAATAAACAAACTGATGACTTGGAAACGCTTATCTTCATATTAAATCTTCAGGCAATTTACATGTTTATATAGTAAATTACTTCAAAATAATTAAGGTCTGTCTACATCAAACGACAGCTAAGCATAACTGCTATAATGAACAGCACATTTTGAGGGGGGTACAGAAATCTTCCAAGCTTTACCTGATACTCAAAGTTGCAAAGTTGAATCGATGCATGTTGTTACAAATTAAATGAACACCAGCAATTCCCCAGCACACCTACATCAGTAATTTAATTACATGCCTTCAACTCTAAAATGAAAATTTCTTCCATTACAGGAAAAGCCTGAAGTGAAGCACTAGCATCTGTCTTCTCTTAACATTTTTCTTACAGCAAACACTCCTCCTATTAAGGAGGAAATACACTTCCTTTGACTTCCATCAATGGAAAAGAGCTTATCTGCTTGTGGCTGTAATATGACATTGTCAAATAGCTGTTTTTTCAGAAAAACTGTCATCTGTTCTACTCTGAAATACTTCAGAAAGCCAAGGGGATAGCAAGGCAGTTATTTTTTGGTAAACTCCATCTATGCATAAATATTTGTTACATGTAAGTAGTGTCATCACACACATTTATTCTTTTCCAAAAGTGGAGGAAATCTCATTAGAGCTTTGTATCTGCTTCTTTACACAGTTTTTTACAGCTATCTCATTGTCTTTAAATTATCTGTATGTTAAAAAAACCTGTCAACACAGCTTTGGGACTGTACTGTGTCTTGCTATATTCTTAAGAACTGCAAGCCAACACTGATTTCAAGTGTTCAACTTTACTCTCCCCACAAACAACAAACTCAACCGAAAAAATAAAAAGATAGGACAGTTTGGGTTGGAAGGGACCTTAAAGATCATCTGGTTGCAATCCCCCTCCCATAGGCAGGGTCACCTTTCCTTAGACCAGGTTGCTCAAAGCCCCATCTAATCTCATCTAAATCCCACTTAAAGTTCCACAAAATATGGAAAAAGCAAACAACCAAAAAACACAAACTAAAGAATCTAAGCAATAGAAAAATTAAATCCCCAGAACATACACTCCCAGAAGCACTCCTATAATTAAAAATATTAACTCTTCCCAATTCAGTATGTCATTCTAATAACCCATTGTTCCACTTCAGAATACCAGGAGAAAGGTTTTCATGCTCTGGTAAGAACATAAATCCTGAATACTAAGGCTGATATGTATCTTAGGCTAGGTAAGAAACTTGCTTAAACATACCAGACTTAAGCAAAAGCTATTCTTATTTTAATAATCCCCAAATTTAGTGACCTAAACAAGAACAGAGACTGTATTTTCATCAATTTTAATTAAAAACATTAGCATGAGTAATATTTATGCAATGCACTGTAGATGAGCAAGCCAGGAAAGAAAATGCTGCCCAGTAAGGATGTGAAATCAGGATTTAGAGCTTTATACTAAGCTGACTGGTATACAGTCTGCCATTAAGGACATGAGTACATGGAGAAAAAAGACAGGTGTTTCCCCACTGCTGATGAGTAATGAGTTCCTGGAAATAAACAGGAAAGCAAGTCATTTGCTGGCACTTTTTTCTTGAACTTTTCAACCAGGTTTTAGAAGTAAAGCAAGCATGTCAGCTAGATGAAAATTTTAATGTTAATGTTTTTCATTCTTAAATATTTATTCTCTTTACACTTTTCTTTGCCTCTGTCTAGCCTGCTAAGACCACTGAAGCACATTTTACATCATGGTTTCTGAGCACTGTGCAGCAATGCTGCAAATGACACACTCTTATCAAGTAGTTTCTCCTCCTTCTGTGCCTCTTGCCTAGAAGGAAACTCCACATTGATTTTAAATCACAATGTGCTGTGCATTTTTAAAACCTTTGCCTCAAGCATGCATGACCAACTTTGAGAAAGTACCAAGCAAATTTCATAATTAACTGAAAAAAGGTTTACTGCAATAATGTTTCTCTCAACTCTTCCTTGTCTCACATCTGCTTCTATGGCAGAAGCTGTAACAATTTAAGAAGCAAGTGGGGGAGGACAGAAAAAGCACACATGCCTATCAGTCTAAACCAAGGACTGCTTGAAGGCAAATATTAGCTTTAACTACATCCACAGATCTGCTATAGTGCCAGATAGGTATAAATAATAGTCTTACAAAATTTAAGATAATGTAATGACAAAAGCTCAAGGCAAGGATGAGCTATATTGGGGATTGATTCTATGTATTAAGCATTCAACATGATTTTTTTAGTGAAACACCTTAATTTGGATTGCTTTCAATGGTTCCTCTTTTTCTCCTCATAAGGCGAAATGTTTTTATTCAGGAATTCACACTGTATAAAATATCAATTTCATTCTCCACAGAACTTTCATAAAAGAAAAAAATAAGCTACTTTAAACTCCACAAATAATAGTAATTTGAGGTAAAAAAACAAAAAGATCACCCCTCCACTTTTTTTGCTTGGTTTTGTTTTCACAACCTCTAAGTCAATAGCTTCTCCAGTTATAACTTAATTGTTTTCTTCTTTAAAGAGAAAAGACTACATAAAATAATGCACTGAAAATCAGCTTGCAGGTGACACAAGTAACAATATGACTCAGGAAGAGATGGAGGAAGCTGGTATCCGTGAAGATGCTGAAAGCACAAGAGCTTATCATAAACATTTCTGTTTGTTTTACAGCTATATCTTAAATAGGTTTGCAACAATTGCTTAGGTAATTGTAAATAACACTAACAGTGTTTCCATAATTTTCCATTTACTTGAATCCATAACCTTAGTGGTACTCCAAGGAGAAATTTCTATCAGTTAAAAATTAGACCAATTTCATAGTAAGTGCCAAGAATACGTACCGAGAGAAACGTTTCGATGTTATCGTGAACAAACGATGCAACATCTTGCCAGTCCAGAATATCTCCAAGCCAGCTGTTCTGACGGTTTATGTGCCACTTGTGTCCTTTGTGTCTTCCAGAATGTGTTACATTCTTAAAAACAAAGAAAATAGACATTTGAATAAAATTTAGAGATATGAGAAAGACAATAGCTAATGCTTTAGACTGGTGTTTTCTTAATAAGGAATAGATCCAACATGCATCTAAATGCTTAGAGCTGCTTTAACTGGCATCCCCTAAAATACCTGGAAGTCCTCTGTACACTGGAAAAATTAAAATCTGACAGAAAACTGTAGTTAATTATCCCATTTAATTACATACGTGTATGTTGTATTGATTCACCTCAGTTAAAAGTTAACTTTACGAAAGCTTGACTGATCCAATGGTATCTGTTTTGCTCTTAATGAAAGCACGTAAGAAAGAGGTAATGATTTCAATTATTGCCTACATAATTTATTGTTTGCAACATACAAGTTTTCCCAGCACAGCCCACCAAGAAAAACGCAAGCAGAAGTCCAAGCAGCTAGTTTTCTCACTATTAGTTTCTACCTCTCCAGAGGAAACGTTCAATCACACAAAACCTAAAATCTAAACTGGATGCGGGAGGATTTCTTCTGACTACCGACCTTTGTAACTGCAACACAACAGGACATGGGCATAAAAACAATAGCTAAATCCTTAAGTGGCTCCTCCCTAATTACGATGCCGCTATTGCCCAGTGAATAATACCTGATTTTCATCTTGAATGCCACAGGCTGGGACTGTGACAAGTGTTTCAGAGAAGGATGTCAAAATTCTCTGCAAGCAAGCTTAAGCAAACTTGCTGACTAAAACATCCTAGTCTTTAATAGAAGAAGACTTCTCAAGTTCTTAACTCTGATTTTTACAATAAGCATCCCACTAGTTGTTAATTTTTTTTGCACACTTTTAGCCTTAGCAACCTCCATACAAAATGGCAGTATCTTTTTTTGCCACACATGGCAAATAACATTCCAAGTGCAGTCCCTGCACTGATTTATCTAAGAGTATTACATTTTCTGCTCATTACCAATTCTCTCTAGATGCACTGTTACACTTTGTGATGTACTATTAGCAACCATCTAAAACAATCCACTGCCAATACAGAGATCTTTCTTCTGAGCTAGCAATTTATTTAGAGTAGAAACATATGAGCAGTCAAAAATCTCCCTCGAATAGGCCTTCTGTATTTGTAAATATTTGTATTTCTGTGTAGAGACTTATCACCTGTTCATCTAGTTCTATACCTAAACTGTTATTTCTTTAGTGCAGAGATCTTCTTGGAACTTTAGAGGTACTTGAAGAATAACTGCATAAAGAAAAGTGTTAATGTAATTGCAATCATTTAAATGTACAGAAGTATTTCAGGAATATGACTTCTGGATTTGATATTTCCATTGCACAATGGCTAATGAATTGCTCTTTCCTTTAAACTGCAGACAGCATTGGCAGCATAACAATGATTTAACTCTTAGGGACTTTTCAGGATTCAGTGTACAGAACACATTATAAGATGGCTGCAAAAATGCATTGTAAGAAACTTAATGAGAGGGCAATTACTTTCTCACAATTTCAAATTAATAAAAGTTACTCAAATCATGCAGAAGACCAGTTGCCTTTTCCCAAGACCTGAACAACCCGAATAATCAGCAGAAAGTGCTAAAGTACAAAATACTAATTATAAAAAGTGAGAAAACTATAAAACGGCACACACAAAAACACGCTTTACTACTTGAATGTAGGACGCAGCTGTGGCTATACTAAAGCTGTGACTCAAGAACGATGTGTCTTACACACTTGAAACTTTTACCTTCTTTTTACTGACCTTTACTCAACCTTCCAACTTTCTGCTAGTCTCTTTCTCAGAAATGCACACTTGGCATAATTACATCAGAGTACTAAGTGACAGTTTACATGAATACCATTTAAATGAGTTACCCACCTTCACAAACCAAGAGTGATAAAGCCTATCCCAGAGCTCCAGCACTTGTTTTTCAATCACAGCAGTGTTATTTACCTTTTCTCCTAAAATCTTATGGAGCTAAAACACATAAAAATCTATTATTATACAGGACAGAACAAAGCAGCCATCCACTGATGAACTTCATGCTTGATGAATAACATAAGATTGTCTGTAAAGGCAAATTTCAAACCCAAGTTATTAAAAAATTAGTATCAGCATGAAATACACACTTCAGATAAAATAGTTCACAATTCAAAGACTTTGTTAAAAACATTCTGCTGCACTGAGGACTTCTTTCTGCACTGCAAAACAAATGCTGTCTCTAAAATCCTTAATCCAAAGCCCTTGATCATATCTTTAGAGGAAATATTTCAAATCATTTGAGATGTGTGCTAGACATCAAATATATGAATAAGAATCTTGGCAAATTCTTCTGAAGAAGAATATAGTTTAGCTACACAAATTATGATTTAAAAAATATCCAGTGTACCACACCCAGCCCACACAGAAATTAGGGGAGAGGGAGGGGCAGTGGTCAGAACAGAAGGTTACAAGTCTCTAACACAACAGCCAAAGTCAGTTGAAAAAAAATTACTTAATTTTATTTGATCCATTTTCACTGGGAATCATTAGAATGATGACAGATTCTTCAGTTCTTAAAAATAAACTAATCCCTGAACAGAAAAGACTACTGAAATCACTCCCACTCTTCCTTCAAAAGTCCCAAACCAGGGTGGAAAGAATAGATTTGTCAACAAAATGGTTAAACACGTGGAAAAGAACTACTGACAAATGTATTTTAATTTCTTGTTACTTTTATGAAATACAAGAAATGAAAGCAGAAACCAAAGAATTTGAGCTTTCTGACAGCTCACTCTTACCTTGTGTGTGATCCATTCTCGGCCATACTGGTATACATTGTTGGCTGCAGAATTGAGTGCCTTCTGAATGACCTGGGCTTCTGGGAGCCAGCTAAGGGGGGTGGATTTTGAAGAGGGAAAACAAAGTTAACTGTTATACATTATATCCACTTCATTACACTCAAAACACATTACAAATTAACATTCTGAAACAACAAATCATTACGGTTAAATACATATAAAATTACTACAACTCAAATGTTTCCTTCTACATATTAAGGAATAAATTTTCCCATAAGCAAAGCAGAATTAAATCTAGGGCATGCCATTGCATTTAAAAATCCTCCAAGGTTCCTGAGACCTTAATTAATTTGATATCTCAACCTTTTCAGAAGATATCTATTCTTCAATCTCTATGTGTCTACTCACACAATATTATTTTTTTTCCCAGAGTTTCCTGAAAATATCGTATGAAGCAGTTTCATCTAGCTGCAAATACAACCTTTTAAATGTACAAGGTACAACCTTTTGAAATTACAAGCTGAATGTAAATGGTAATTTACAATTGTAAATTGTTAACATAGTTTCCATGAACAAGCAACCAGCTGACAAAAGGTCTGGACATCAGTTATTTCTAAGTCCTCACCAAACCACCTGCTTGTGAATTTCTTCAGGGATTCACATCACTTTCAAGCAATGTACCCTACTGAGTTGACAGCATTTTACCACTTGTGAATACAGGCCACAAAATCTCTGCTTTCACTTTCTTTTTACATCTTGATTCAATGGCACTTGTTGGGAGCCCTTCCAAAACAAAATGAAAGCATTCAGGAAACAGAAATACTCTATTTGTTCACCTGACTAAAGATCAACATGGAAGCTCCTCTGTCTGTATAATGCTTCAGAAATGTTCCAGATTGGAATTCCAAGATATTTCAGTCACTCACCTCTAAACATAAAAACGAGCATCGAGCTCTGAAAGCTGGTAAAGCTTCGTGGATTTGGCAAGAGGTATTCTTAATGAACTAAAATATAGTGTTATGGATACTTCGAATTTTAATGCAAACTAAATGCAAACTTCTCTAGTTTAAAAAGTTATACTAGAATTCTGCAAATATTTAACTAGTAGAATTCTGCAAATTATTTAACTAGTAGAATTCTGCAAATTATTTAACTAGTACTCCACTTGTTTCATTATGTAATCAAGTTTCTGACAGTCAAATTTCCATCTCCATTAGTCCCACTTATTTCCATCTTACAGCAAAACAGAAAGGCCAAACAGCACAAGACATGCCATGAAGGAATAAAACCAAGTGCTTTAAGTGCTTTCTGTTCTCATGATTGTGATTACTTTACTAGTGCTAAAGCATGTATTACTACAGTGGGTATTAACAATATCCCTTTAGTTCTGTTTTTGAAAAATTGCTTTGCTCTTATAATACAGCATCTGCTTTCTTTCAATCTTCTTAAACCAGCATTGCTCTTATTTAGAATGTGCCCTTGAGTCAACCACGCTTATTCTGGAGAGATCCTTTTTTTTTGCTGTCATTAAATTGGTATCTCACATTTGCCCAATGTCTGTTCAGCTGAATTGGAATGAGAGCCACCTGGAACATCCCCCCCCCCCCTAAAATCACACTTTTCAGTCTCACCTATTTCCCCTCTGATATTCATGCAATGACTCCTTTGCTCACCAGTGTGCCCATGTTTTCCTCTAGATGCATTTCTCTCAAAAACATCCCTCTCCCTTACTACTTGTCTTGGTGCTTACTTTAGTCATTACACAGACCAAACCTTACAAACTCCCCACTGCACACATTACTCTTAACAGGAATGGTCCTGCCCAACTGAGTCACACCAAACTCCCTCCATCCACCCCTGAACTCTTCTTCAGTTCATTCCAGGAACAATGTCTTCAACTCCTATTCCTTCAAATGCACTCCACATCCATCTCTCTACATTTAAAAATAATTTACCTCTATCTTGAAACTTTCTAGAGTATTCTTTGCCAGCACTTCTCTTTCATAGTAAAAAGGGACAAAATTCATCCTCTGCACTATACAAGTTTCTTCTCCACAACTGCAGTTAGGAAAGTTCATGGAGTCATCCTTCACCCCTAAAACCCAACCAGTCCTCACATGAGATAGCACACTGACAGTCCTCCAGAGTTATGCACAAACATCTTTGCTGTCTGAGAGTTTAGCTTCTACATCTGCCTGTGAGAGATACCCACATTTCTGTTCACCTAGGGGATTTTTTAAATTAAAAACTATGCATAAGAGCACCTGGAAGCTTGTTCATCCACCCTATACTATTCGCTTAACTTCAGCATTCTTACTTTGCCCACTCTGGGTGACTGGCTACTGTCTCATTGATCAAGCTGCTTGTGACTTGAATCATGTGAACACTCTCTTGATGTACCTAAATTAAAGACAGAGAGGAGAAATGTTATGCAATGCAAACTACAACTCTTCCTACATTCACAAAGAATTCTTTTTTGGGGGGCAGGGGGAGCGAGTAGTGGAAGAGGAAGGAGGATGGGGAGGAGGGGGAAGGTGAGAGGGGATGCAGTGACCAGTTTGTACATTTAAAAAAATAATTTTTCCAGTGCAAACAACCCACTAGGAAGAAAGAAGTTCCATTAACACAAGAAACACCTAGTCAATAAAATAATAAATTCTGGTCACTAGTAATAGCAAATGGAAATTGAAACCTTATCCCATCAGGGGAAAAAAAATTCAAAAATAACAGCAGTACTGTCAAGAGAAGTACTAAAATACAAAGCAAAGTTTCAGATACAACTTTTTAAGCCATGGACCAAAGAAGTGTAAAAATTAATGAATACTTAGCTCTAACATGACCAATGCTGCTATGAAGTGCCTAAATAAATTCTTCAGCAAGAATGATAAAATACACCTTTTATAAATATCTTAATACTCCTTCTGTGAATGTAAGGGAGCTTTAGGCAGGAATGTTTGCACAACTTCAAAAGTCTTTAATTTTAAGTACTCAACATTACCTACGCCTACATTTTGGAAAAAGGAGATTGACATCAGAACCCATTGATCTTTGTTCCATAACTGTATTCAAGTCAAGCATTCAATCTCCATTGACCATTTTAAGTATGAACACAGCTCCATTAATGAAAAAGGGAAAAAAAGTACATGAGTGACCTCTTCTGGTGAGCAAAAAAAAACACCCCACCCAAACTCAACCATAAACCAAACATCAATTTCAGAAAATACCTGATCATGAATCTCAGTACATTTAACTCAGAAAAGGATACCACGAGGTTATTACAGGCAATTACACAAAAAATTGACAAAAACACCTTAATATTTTGCAAATGTTTCTGATATGAGGTAAATTAAAGAGAAAGAAAACCTAAGTGGCTCTTCTGTTGACAAGGGAAGTGTCAACAGGGTGCAAAACAAATCTGTTCCTGTAATACATAAGCTAGTAATTCTTTTACTAGAATAAATTTTGTATTTACAAATGTCTATATATTAGCCTTATCATATAGGTAAAAAACATAGAAACATTGAGGTTTTTATATATTTTATAGTCTTGGAATGGTGACAAGTTCAAGTACAGAGAATTAGTTCCTAAACATTTAGAAAAATTCTTTAAGTTATACAATCTCGTATAAGTATCAGTAACCTTCATCAGCAACGAAAATGAGCCTTATGATTGTATTTTTTAGCACACTGTACCTTTGCAGTAAGGAGAAGAGCTAGCAGAAGGGTTCCTATCACCAGCACAAATATTATGAAAATGCTGATTATTTTATCTAGCATTTTCTCCAGCCACACGATAATCTGTGCAGAAAAAACAAAACCAAATTATAGCACATAAATCAATCTTTAATGAAAGCAATGCTGTATGCTATGCAACAGTATTGTTATTTTTATCTACAATCACAGTACAAAATCAGGCTCTAATCACACAGCATTTATGCCCAAGCTTGGAAATGAACAATTAACAAGCAATGTTAGCATGATTAAGGTCATGGTATGACATGTGATTTTGCAAAAAACATGTACACATTACCACACAACACAGCAAGCTCTCTGCAAAGCAAGCAATAATTCAACAATTACTTACTAGACCTAGAGAAGTACCTAAAGAAGACATTCACGTCAACTAGAACCCAGAAATTTGTCTTTGTTTCTTGTCCTTCAGCAACCTGGAAACTTACAGATATTGTCTGCACAGGACTTCAAAGCTATCAAGGTATACTTTAAAGCACAACCATAACTTTCAGATTTGAATAGCTAAGTGCCATCTAAATGACAAATGAGGTATTTTTGCAAGTAATAAAATTTTTAAAGCTGCCTCATCACCTTCTGAACTGAAATGGGACAGGTGGGGTTCTGCATTATTGAATATCAGGCCAATTATTCAGCACCAACTATTTCTATCCACTTCCAGTCTCAGGAGGATGCTCAGCATTAAGCATGCATCAGCTAAACTGACTGATACAGGAAACAGGCACATTTGTTGCTCTGTCAGTTCACAAAAGGCCCATTCTATACATGTCCATAAGCAAATAGTAATACCACATTTGAGTAGAGAAATTCTGATAATGTCACTGAAAACAATCAAACTGCTCAGTCACATGACTTTGCAGAGTGCTCTGGAACACAGCAAGCTGAGCTTCATCTCGTACACAAACTGATTGTTTACATAAAAAGCTGTGAAAGCACATGCAAGCATGATCAAATACATTTTTCTAGCTCCTATGGTTCAAATACCAGATCTATTTCTATTCCATTTAGCATTACTACAGGAAAAAGCAACAGCACAATTGTAAAATTTGTGATTCACGAGAACTGAGGTCAAAGCATCAGTTGTGTAGTAAGCAAAAGTACTTCAAGTCCAAGTTATATATTCAATGATTAAGTTGGTAACTTTTTAGTTAGAGATCTTATAACACTACTAACATGCATGCTAATGGTTTACATTAGTTCTTTCTGCATTATTTACCCTATCCCTACAAATGAAATTGACCCTGGAACAACAAACTTCTCAGACTGCTCTGTGATGACTGAACTGGTCAACACTGAAGTCAGATCTCCTATTTGACAAAAGCAAGGATTTTTTGTGTGTGTGTTCATCCAGTAGTATCTGAGCAGTTTATATACATCAAGTAATTATTTTTAAATTTCAAATTTTTACAACCAGCTCCTTGTTTGATCTAAATTAACAAGTTCTTGTAACAAAGTCTGTACTACATTAAGAACTGCAGAAAGGAACTCAGAAAACACAAGAAAGTGTGAAAAGTCTTTTGTCTTAGGTATTTTTAACCAAAGTCTGGTTTTCAGCATTGCTAACAGATTTCAGCCATCAGAAATGCATTGCCAGTGCTGGAGGGAAGTGACCTGCCTGCAGCAGTACTACAGCTCTGAAAAACTTGGAGCAGCCCCTGCACAGGGCATATATATAGGGGTTACCTCTTTGGAAATAAGACTGAAATGAGATTTGCTGTATCCTTCCAAGCCTCATGTACATCTAGTGATTATGCAAGAGAAGCAAGAAATGAAAGTCCGTGTTTCAAAGGACACAAATAAAAAAATATCACCAAGAAAACACTACTGGATAGGCAGGGGAAGAAAATTTTATAGCATGGACTTCAAAATGAAGCTATTAAAAATTAAAACTGCCCTCATCATTTCGAAGTTCAAATTACTATTTACTTTCTAAGTCAGAGTTTAAAGAAATCCAGTAGTCCTACAAATAGTACTTTAATCAGATTTACTGCAGCTATGTAATTGGAAGTACTGTCAGAGATTTCAAAAAATGCTAGGCTCAATTATTGTGTGAGGGGTATTCAATAGGTGAAATCTCAGTGGAGGTGAGGCTGAATGCTTTAGATGTTTTGCCACGTAGCAACTAATGGAAGGGCAAGCTCCAAAGGACCAGGATGAGGATTCTCTCCAAGATGGCACAAGGTATCTTTCCCAGACACTCATACTGACAGTTCAAATATGCCTGGACTGCCATTAAGGTGCAGCTGCAGCACATGTAAATCCTGGATTACCTTTAATCTAGTTAGCAAAGACATGGCAGCACTGATGATGTACTGGTACCAGCAGCAGCCTCAGCCATGCCAGCCCACCTTGTCTCTATTTACTTGGGCAGGTAGCCCAAGGAAGCCTGATGAAAGCCAGCTTTGGCAAGCCTACAGGTACTGCAATTACATCTCTCAACACAGACTTAAGGGGATCCAAGTTATCTAAGTGGTACAGATACATCACAGCAGAAGACTGAATTGGACTGAGTATTGTACAGGTAAAAGCAGATGGACATTGTCTTAAGGTTATATTTATTCTTTTTTTTCTTCTATTAAAACATACTTTCTTCCCCTACATCAACCCACAACACTTCCTTAGCAATCCCTCACCTTTTCACACTCCTGTTAAATAATGCATAGGTGCAGAAGAGCTACTCACTGCAGGGAAGCTGCACTGTTAAATGCCTGTGTGGTCGTATTTATCACTGAATCAGGTCCAGACTTCACTCTTACCCCAACCCTGCCAGACCTCCCTTTACACCCTTCCTGTAAACCATGGGCATGCACACAGAGACAAACATGTACTGACTAAACACACTCATTAGCCAGAGGTCACGAAGTTTTATATTCAGTTCCAAGCTTCTAATCCAAAGGTTAGTCAACAGCAGAAAGCTGAGGCTGCCACAGCATCTGAGATTACGCAAAGGTAAAGGAAAGCTAGGCTCCTAAGCTACAGAAGGTCAACTTGTAAAACCAAACTGAAATATTACTGATTTGTGATAAGAGTGTTCACAAAAAAACTGGCTTTAACTGTCAGAGTTTGGAACGGAAAGGTTTTTATTTTCATTTAGCTCACAGTAAAAAAGGTATTTAATGATTGAGTTACGTTTTATTAGAAAGCTCCTCAATAATTTGCAAGTACTCCCTCTTTCAATTTTTGGATGAAGACACAGAATCATATTACACTAGGCTGTAACAGAACTACAGTACATACTTAAAAATCAGAAATCTTACTATCTAGGCAGGTTCTCCATGTTTTGCAGTATGATACATCATCTATGAATTAATATTTGCAGGTTTCATACTGCATAGCCTTTGGGGCAGTAGTTTTTCTAGTATGTTTAATTTACTACATTACCCAAACAGTAAAGCACACCTAGGCATCTACTTCATATTTGATTAAATCTATATTAAAAAAATTACCAACATGGACTTTTATTTTTTCTGTAAACAGCTCCACTATTTATGAGGATTTTTTCCCAAGATGTTCCTTAGACTTCTCATTTCCCTTTTCTTAGTTAATATTTGAAGATACCATCTCATTAACATCATCTGCAGAGAATAAGGGGAAGTCTGTAACCAGAACACATCCCAAGGTTATGGTGAAATGACTCAGCTGAGTAGTTAAGCTAGAAAATGTAGAGAACAGTCTGTGTGAGGTCTCAAGTCTACCTACACCAGTATTCCTGCAGAAGCAGCAGAAGAATTTAGCAATTCCTTCTAAAGACTCCTGACATAGACAATGTTATTAAGAACAAATTATGCCAGACTGACTGAATCTATTCTATATTTTGGGCTATTTATACACCACAAACAGGAATCAAAGTAGTCATATCACTAGTAGTCATAATCAACCATCATTTCAAACTCTACCATATCCATATGACTTTAAATTTCCTGTTGGATTATCAGAAATTTATGTCTGTGGTCTCTGAAGTATGTCCCTTCAAAGACAGGCAAACAGGAATCACCTTTAACTGCAGCCAGTGTTCTGTTCTTCACAAATCCCCTCTTTTTTCTGCCTCTAGTAGAGTGTGACATTTTTCCAAAACTTTTTTTAAAAATCACCAAAACACTACACACAACAAAATTAACCCACCAGTTGCACATTTTTTCACTTTTTTAAAAATCTTGCTTATAATACTATTATTGTATGTTCATTCACAGAAGTCAACACTGTATGTAATACTATCAGGATTTCAGGATATCTACTTATGAAACTGTAAAGTAAACCAACAGTTTTCAAAGATAACTCCAAGGAACTAAAAAACCATGCTCTGTTAAGAAATTATATCCACAGGGTTTTGCCAAATAATGTGAATTTCTAAACTAAAAATGAAATCCATACATTTTAGCATTTAAAGCTATTACAGTTAAATTGGTTTTGCAACCTACCAGTATTAAGGAAAAAAATCCCACATCTATCTACTCATGAATTTTCAATAAAAATGACAAATGACAGAAAAAAAGCAGTTGAGACTACACTTCCTCTTGTGGGTCACCAAACTCAGCTCTTTACCTAAACTCTGCTAGCAAACCGTTATCTAATTTAAAAAAAAAAATTATGACAGGTTATGGCTGCACATATTTACTAACCACAAGTCACTCACATAAGATAAAGATTTCATAGTTGGGAAATAAAAATGTGATTTTAAAACAGGAGAAATACAGTCAAGGGCAAAAGAACATTAAAAATGCCCCTCTTCATGGACAATTATAACTAAATCATGAAAACATATCACACAGTTTTAAAAGCCACACAATAGGAAAAAAAAAATTAGCTATACCAACTACCTAATTTTTTGTTTTAAACTAGCTTTTTTCTTTCCTGCAGACTGGTTAAGATTCAGCAGTTCTGAGGCCATGCAAAGTCGCATTTTGTATACATTCACTCCTGGTACACGAGGTACTGTGCCTGTGTACACAGGCAAGTTTGGCACTGCAAAAGTAAAAGACTGACAGCACTCAGTGAAACCAGCCCATGCATCATTTGCAAGCACCTACAGAACTACAACTGTGCTTCACAGCCTCACCACTCCCCTGGTAATTTGGTTAACTGATGCTTTCCCTGAGCAGAGAACAACTCTCCAGACTGGGAGAGAACCGGTTTTGTTAGGTGTACAAGTGGGGACCAGGCAGGGATCAACTATTCTTAAATAAAAGTGCCCCTAAATCACTCTACCCTTTGAAATACTAATGCAATACTCTGCTGTGCTAAACATTTAACTATGTGCATTTCTACTGGAGTAGAAGAGATCAGACAGAATTATATGACCTTCAGTAGCTTATACCAAGAGCTGGAAAAGAGGCATTTGAGAGAGAAATCTATATGAAGCAAGGCATGTTAAGGAGTGTTCATGCTGCAAAATAAAAAAAAAAATTATAAAAAAATCAAACTCCCCAAAACCACAGAATCCATTAGCTGGAATCATAATTTTTCTGTTTATTTACCTTCTTATTAAGCCAGTGCCACAGCTTGTCAGTGGCAGGCGGAGATGGAAGAAAAGGGAAAAAAACACAACACAGTGGAAAATTATTGAAAAATGCAGTAATAGGGAAAAAAAGCAATGAGAGGCAGGCAAAGTCATCCACAGAATGAAAATGAAATTGTTCTAGACACAAAGGTAAATTGCAATAGCAAGAAAAGATAATAACAAATTCTAATGCAAGAACCTGGGTTTTACTACTAACATGCAGTTTTGAAACAAAGAGGGATATAACAAATATGAACAATTTTAATGGCATTAACAGAGCTATCAGCATAATCTGGACAATTCCAGTTTAATTATACTGACAACTACCATCACATTTCAGAGCAGGACTTGTACTCTGAGAAGGACATTTCAGCAAAACACCAAATCCTGACATAAGGTAATTGTTTATGGCATTAATACTCCCATTCAGACATTCAAATATTCCCATTCTACACATTTCAAAACACTACTATTATGTCAATTACTCTTGGACAGATTTCATATGTTTTTTTGGTACAACATTCATATTAAAGCACTCACATTCAATGGCACAACATCAAACACATAATTAAGTCTGATATACATACAACAGCAAATTGTAGATCATATAAATGTAGAGATTTCATGTAATTCTTCTTGCACTTCTTAACAGTCAATTTCTCCTTTTGCACTGAAGTTATTTTTCATTACTGATGCTCATCCACATGCTAAAGTATATCCATTTCAGGACCTAGTTTATGTAGGATTATACTCCTAATTCTAACCATTACTAATCATTAGTAGCATAATCAGAACAGAGAAGAGCTTTAATGTTGTTATTCATCTCTGTTAGAGGTTAAGATCATGTAAGTGAAGTTTGTTTCTCCCTGAAAACAAGTCATTGAATTCTCAGTAAATCTAACATGTTCACCAGTTGCCAGAAATTACATTAGCTCCCAATGGAAACAAAAGGCATGAATATTTCATATTTATAAAAATCTCATAATGTTAATTAAGTTAGAAGCAGATTTGCAAAGAATCATGAACATTAGGAAATATGAAAATAAAATATGTCATAAAGCACCCATGTTTACTAGCTTTGCTACTTATGGAAAGAGTCACAGTCAGAGAAATCAAATTACAAGGCTTCAAAAGTCTCAAGCTGACACTGTAGAATTTGTTTCTACTTTACCTCTTCACCTATGGAGTGATTTATCCCTGAAAAAAGGGAAAGTTGTTTTCTGATTAAACGACATACTTTTAACTTTATTTCTCCACTTTAAAACCTACTGTCTGTACCTGAGGCTTGTTTTGGAAAAAACACAGATCTCATGGCTGTATTGCTCAACTTGGCAAACCCATACTAAATACAACAAAAGAGCCCTAGGATTTTAGCTGAATGTGAAAGGAAATCTTTGGTATTTTTCTGTAATTTCAGCCTCTGGGAATTGGATGATAAATACAGTAACTAGGAAATAACATTAGATGTCCAAAATAAAATATTTTTTATCAACATTTAAGACAATACTTGGAAGGCTCTACCTGCCTATTAGCTTACTAATACTGATGTTTAAGTAGTTCTACAAATGTAACCAACCTACATTTGAAAATAGGCTACAGCTTAATTCTAATCTTCAAGTCATCCAAAACGAATAAGTCTATAGCCACTTTTCCAGTATTTTATTGGAAAACTATTCATCTAAGTTCTCACATGTGTATGAAAGTATTTTCTATAATAATATAAGTATTGGCAGAGATTATGCTTGTTTTCTGTGCTTGGTTAAACTGTGTAATGAACTTGGTACCAGAAGAAATAGAAACTGACTTTATCCAAAATGCAAAGAATCTAAATAATCCACATATAAAATTCTAGTGCACTATACCTAGAAAAAGTACATAACAACTACATGATTCACTCAAGTACATCAGAGAGCATGTATGTAAAATATTACTACATTCCAAGGAGTAAAAGTCCAGTGCATGCAGCTGAGCCATTGTCAGTGCTGCTAAACTCCCTCACAAATTCTTATAACCAAACTGCAGTCATCATATTGTAAGACAACAATATAAAATAAAATAAATAAAAATTTTAAAATAAATAAATAAATAAACCAACAAAACAGTACAGAAAATTATTAATTCTCCACTGTTGATAAGAACACCCATGATACCCCATCTGTTAAGTTTAGGATGGCTCAGTGGCTGACGAGAGAAACCTCCCTACTCTCTCCTCCAGGAAGTCTCTCACATCTGAACTGCTGTCTGCTGACTCTCCATGAGGCAAATGCACAGCCAGGAACAGCATACAGTAAGAACAGGATACAGTATCCACATCCTATTTCCATAGCCCATTCTGAAAGGAGACACATTCATACAGACTGACCTACTGCTTACAAAAACGATAAAATGCAATGCCCTTTTCTTTCTCATTACCAGAGTTTCTCTTCATTTCAAATTTCTCTGCACTTCCAGAAGAACCAGGGTTAAATGAGAATTGTCAAAGAAGAGGAGCAGTTCTTTTCTTGATGGTTTTGTTTAAAAAACAGATATAATCAGTAAAGCTCAGATCTGCATGCATGAGCAGTACTCACTCATTTCTCACAACGGGTTATTTTCCAGACTATCTACACTAGCCTCCTAAAATTTGTTTGGGAAAAAAGACATGCCTCTCTAAGATATGTTCCTCATTCTCACTACATTTCACTCAAATCTGGAATTATATCCTAATTGGACATATCATGTTTGCCAGCCCAAGTACTACCACTAAGTGTTTGTGTGAAAAAGACCTTGTCAATGGCTGGCTGTACTTAGCTAAGATTCTCAATACATCCTGGTGCTAAGATCCAGTTTCAAACTTACTTTGCATACCAACAAAAAACAAACAAAACAAAAACCCTTAGGAGATCCAGCTCCCATGTAAATAAGCTAGAAACAAAATATTAAAAATTAAAGTTCTAATTGCAAAGGAAATGATCCCTCAGTCTTGGTTTCTCACACACCCCCAATAAAAGGTAAGCTGTAACAATTTACTCTTTAAATTTCTATTTTGTGTTCACGTATTTTTTACTTTCTCTTCAACAGTGCCTACTGAAGCCAAAATATTCAGTAATACAATTTAAAAAATCTTGCAAGGATGTAATTTTCACTTTTGTTTCCTTGTCCCTACAAAAAATGTAACTGCCAATAACCTGTGGCATTGCTTCCCAAATTCTGAGATACCATGCATCCATCATCCTACAATATACAGAATGAGCACAGCCAGTAGAAATTAAAAGGTATGGATGCATTAGTGTGATAAGCATTGGAAGACTACATATAATCCCAGCCACCCATGATAAATGCTGGCTGAAACAGAATTAGAATAGGCACAAATGAGGACAACAGAATCATGCAGATTATCAAGTGCCCTTCTAGTAATGTCTGGGAAAGCTTAAACTGCTTTAATACACAGAGCACACACTCAGGAGGAATACAGCTGTCATCTAAAAAATGGAGGGGTGAAGGGAGATGGGGAAATGAGTTGGTCAACACTGTTCTCCTGCTTAGACAAAAACAACATGTAAATAAACTGACCTTAAGTACATTTAAGCTGAAGAGCGAGAGGTTCTGCTGCACATTAAAGCCCTACCTTCTTTAAGGAGAAAAGACTTGCTGGAATTAGGAAGGATACTGTATCACACAGTTATACAATACAAGGATACCAAACTTGACAACTCATGAAACAATACATTCAACACTGTGTCTAGAGTGGCTTCTTACTTACAGAACAAAATCTTTTTAAGAAAGCTTTGTATAATATAAGCTTTTATCCCCACATTGGAATTTTCACTGCCTTTGGAAAACCACATTATTGTGTTTATAGCTGTATTTTGAAAGGCTTTTTCTTTTTCAAATTCTTCCTCAATGAACCCTGTGAAATCATTACTTTTTTCCTACAGCCATTTTAATACTTTTGTTGACCTTTTGTTATCCATTCACCCATCAGATCCAGACTTAAGCCCCTCCCTCTCCTTTAGAAATTTAGAGCTATAAACTGTAAGACCAATCTGCCAAGGTACAGATGCTCTGACAAATGTACTTACAGGGTTCAGCTCTTCAGTTACAGAAGTTATAGAAGTCCTAAGATAAAGGCTTTTTCCAGAGCAGAGAATACTTCAATAACACATTTACAGAAAGCATATTCTTACACAGTGCCACAGCTATTACGAACAAAATAATCCATCTATCCGTTTACATGAAAATTAAAATTCTCAATGAAAGAAACTTTATAAATTTCCTGGAGCTTTCCAACTATGCAATTTGCAATGCAAATGTTGGCATATTTTGCATGGGGAAGAAGGAAGGGGAACACAGAAGCCTTATTCTGTGGCAATTCCCAAATACTTTATCCCACATATTTCTTCACTTACAGAGGGAAGACTCATTTCTGTACCACCATAGTACTGTGTGCAACAACTTTGCTTCCACACAGTACAGACAAATATGTCTGAACTAACTTGGACCCTACTACCCAAACACAATGGTCTGCTTTTTAATTAAATTTTCAAATTAGAAGTAGGAACATCTTATCCTTCAGACTAAAGCTCATTAGGTTTAAATTCAAAATCTTTGTAACCAGGTAAGATTAAGAGAACTTTGCCTTACTCAGATAAGGAACCTTATAAAGGTGATTCAACATTTTAAAAGTGACTTCTGTAAAGGTCTGCATGCAACCATTTAACAAATTTAACTGTGCACTTAAGTGTGAATAGTGATAGAAGAGACATAATTTAAAATACACCATAAAACAAATACAGTTTTACATGAAAGACATATCCATTAGTGACAGACATTTATTTTAGAATTAAAGCATCTCAGAATATGGTGAAACAGAGAATAAAACAAACTTTCAAGTTGCTTAAGGAAGTAAGCAGAAATACCTTACTGTCAAGCTTTAGCATAACACTTCCAAGTCCTCTGATGGGCCGTGGAGCAAGAGCTTCCTGACGTTCCTTCACAAAACTTTCCACTAGTTGCCACCAACTTTTGCAGTGCTTTGCCATGAAGTTCAAAACTCCAAAATGAACCACGAATTTTTTAAGTGCCCAAACTGTAACCACAAGAAGGAAATTTACTATCAGAGATTTCAGAGGAGCACCACAAGACTACTTACTTTTATTCTCTTCTGGAAGACTGATTAAAAAAAAAGAAAAGACTCTTGAGTTTTATTTCCCATTAAAAACTTCTGGAATTTGCCAGTGTTTTTAGTACTAATCTCCTCGCTATCTTTGCAGCTGTGCTTATCCACATGGAACTTAGATGACAGCACAAGAAAAGTGACAGCACACTACCCAAACTGCAACTCAGACTTGATCAAGGCCTGGGATAAGAAGGTGCCACTCCATTATTCCAGTACAGTGGATTTCTTCCATATCCACGCACACACACCATGCCAAATGGTTCCACATAAAGTACCACAATCAGAACTTAACAGCACCTTACACATAAAAGAAAATCTTCAGCCTAAATTCTTAAGCTTTAGGCCTTCTAAGTTGTTAAAGTGTATCTTTCCTTCAAGAACTGACACCACATCATGCAGAATTTCACAGTAAAGAAGCATCCATTTAAATCTTCTTTTGAAATATTACTGATAAGATTTTGCTTTTAAACATTAAAGAAAGCTATTTGTGATTAGCATTTCATCTTGGTAACACAGCATATTGCAGTTTCCATCACTACTTGTAACTTCACTTTTTTTAATAAATTTTTTTTTGGTGACTATTCTCCAAACTAGATTCATTACTTACTGCCATACATGAGCTCCACAACAGTTGGCAATACATCACTTCATCATAAAAAATTCACATCATGTTTCTACTTGGAGAAGTGTAAAATGGCATACATAGCCAAAAAGGTCAACTTTCACTGCCTACAGGGCATTTATCCAAATTCCACAAGAGCTTATTCTCTGGAAGCCACGCTTGTAATAGTTTATGTTCTTGTTCTTGTTTTGGAGAGCCAGCGCAATGATTTGCTGACATTTAGTTCACTTACCCTCTGGCACCACCATGTGGCAAATATGGGATTTATTCTCTTGAAGAAACAGAATAATCCAATAATTTCTCTAGTAAAATGAGTGGCAAAGATACAAAAAAGGAGAAAACACAGTGCAAGTGCCAGCATTGAACTTAAAGGCTGAAGTTTTGTATGATGAAATGCAGCTCATGGTCACAACACAAACTGCTGCTCAGCAAAGCCAGGCAGGCTTGCATTTTACAAGGTGAACAAGATCCTCAAATGGCATTCTAATCTTCCACTGTTACTTAAGTGTAAGTGTTTACACAGTATCTTCTGAAAAAGTGTACTGTTACTCATTGCAAAGGAGGTGCTACAGTCAAACAGCTGTAAACATATTAAGTTAAAAAGAGACAAGAGAGGAAAAGCTAAAGAAACTGTTATTTCTAATTGTTATTAGAAAGCACTGAGCAAAACAAGAAAAAGACTGCATAATAACAAGTTCCAAACATGTGCAGGAAGCAGAAAATTACCTGAAAAAATTAAAAAAAAAAGATACAACAGAACAAGCAAGGAAGCAAATGAAACATCTTAGAAAGAGACAATATCAGGATTTCCAGGCTCAAATCACTCAGTAAAATGCTGCAAGTACTCTACAGCGTGTTTCATTGCTTAGCTTTTCAATTCATAGCAGTTCTTTCACCTTTTCATTTTATGGTATAATTATGGTATAATTTTCCCACCCTCTACACTAAGCAATTTTAAAAGACCATTTCATTCCAAGTAAAGAATAAATGCATTCAAGGAAAAATATTAGTGGCACCAAGGTGTTTCTAATAATCTAAATGCTACTTTGTGTGAGTCCTCTTTACCAGTATAAGGAACTCTGGCGAAATTAACACCTATTTAGGGTTTTGGGGGCTTTTACATACTAGAAGCATCCTCTTTAAGGTTTCAGAAGTGCTTTAAGTTATTGGTTAGTCTCTTTAAACTTGAACCATTGCAAGGAAACTTGCTTTATTAGCCTTCCTATTTTCCTAGTATTTTTACAATTCCCTCTCTTTTAGCCATGCAGACTATCATCACTCACCTTCTGACCTTTAATGTAATCCACTGTTCTAAGTTTGGCTCTGTTCATCATTATACTGCCCATGTGTAATATCTTTCTGATGATTCAGTTCTATGCCACAAAAAAGCACGTCATGGCCCAGTGTCACTGCTAAGGCAACAAGTCACAAATATTCCCAAAAGCAATTTCTCTTTTGGATTAGTTTATTGTTTGGGTAGTTATTTTAGACCTAATGACTGTCAGGAGCAGTATTCATCTGTGTCATTTAGACGTGTACTTTAATGCAGACTTGTGTGGCTCAAGCTTAAACCATTTACTTCTGTCTAGCTGCAGAACTGCTGCTCCCCTTTTTCCTCACATTTAGGGGTTTTTGAACAGTGGTTAAGTTACTCCTTGACTTTTCAGTAAACTAGTCACGTAAACTCTGCTTCTAATAAGTCTAAAATTTATTTTCTAATTGCTTTTTCACTCCTAATTGCCATCTCCCATGACACCCAGACACCAAAACTGGGAAGTTCCTTCTGTAGTAGCTATACTGGAATGAAACAAAGGTCAAACCCCTCTCTGCTTTACCGTGCATCCAGCTATTTATAAGTCTTGCCATCACATTACCCCTTAGCTGCTGCTGCAGTGCCACAGCCAAAGGTGCAGCTGTTCCTTTCTCCATGCCTTAGAGTTCACAGCCCTTCCAATCTCTAAGTGTGACCCCCAAGTCACAAGTTCCAGATGGTTTACAGAGCTTTGTGTTCTGTGCACAGGTGTCAGGCTTTGGTAGCAGGGTGGCCTCTGGGGTGGCCACCAGGGGAAGAGACCAGGGGTTGCCTTGTCCCAGACACAGCTCCAGGTGGCTCCACAACAGCTCCATCCCTGGGCAAAGCTGAACCCCTCAGGCACGGGTGTGGTGCTTCAGTGGAAATGTATCTAAGGAAGGGCAGAAACCCTGGGCAGGGACAGCAGGAAGGAACACAGAAAAAGCGACTAGAGAGGAAAAAGGAACAGAAGGATGAAGAGAGGTAATGAAAAGGCCAGGGAAGCAGAAGTGCTCTGCAGAGGAGCACACACATCCCTCAGAGGGACCATGGCCTACAGAGGATCCATGCTGGAGCAGGTACACATCTTGAAGGGACTGTGGCCTAGGGATAAGGAAAATCCAAGCCCATTCCTCCCTAAAGGGAATAAGCCCACATTAAAACACTGGAAGAATGACTGGTTTGGAGGGTATTTGGCCACTAGCTGGGGCCAACCCACCACACTTGGTAAAAAATAAAATAGGTACATTCAAGTGATAAATGCATTTTAAAATGCTAAAAACTAGCATTTTAACTGAAGTTTAGAGAAAATCCAAGAAAACTAGGAAACCCACTTTGTTTACAGTAAGGGGATGGGAAGAAACGCCTTCCAATTCATAGTAGCTCACACATACTTCCAGAGTTCCCATTTTCCCCTTTCACTGCCCCAAAAGAGTAGAGGAAAAAGTGGCATCCAGTTTTAAAATAATATCTTTTGATAGCTATTGTAACAACTCCAATTCTTACCTGATATATAAAAGAACACATGCATATAGATGTGAAGCAACAAAGCTAATTAACCTCAGACCTAAAATTGGAACTACATTTATCTTGTCACTTGTCCACAGTGCCTAGCAACCCATTTTTTACAGAAATTAAAAGTTAACATGAGCTCTACTTCACTACTGAATAACAGCTAAACTATTCTTCATTTATAGGTGCAAAAATATGAAAGAACTGACATCAGGAGGAAGAACTAACTGGTCTAAACCAAAAGTATTCTTACTATGTAAGGTGTGGTCCTAAATTATTTAAGGCAACTACAACAGTCAATAGACAAAGCAATTTAACAGAGTTGTTCACTACAAGGTAATAGCCAGGGCACATCAATCCTCCTTTTTGAAGCTACAGTTCATCTTGTCTTAACAAGTCATGAAAAAGCTTCTATTTAAAACTCATACAAGCCTACAAGCCTTTCCTCCTGTTAACATGATGCCAAACATTTCTAGTAATTGGATTATTACCTGCAAATGGCACTGGCAACAGCTGCACAATCCAAAAATTTAGCCAGATCTGAACAATGACAATGGCCCACACAAGAGTAACAAAGTAAATATCACTAGTTTTCTTTTTCCTAAGAAAAGATCCAATCTCAGTTCTTTGTCTGTTCCCAGAAGATGATGAAGAGGAGGTGCCGAAAGATGATGAAGCTCGTGGAGGTGGAGGCTGATCACTTTCTGCTGTTGATCCTAAAACAAACACATGCAAACAAAGAAATGGAAATTATCACATTAATATTCACCACAAAATAGACTATGTTCCCTATTCCCCAATTACCTCTTTTTTTTTGGAAGGTGGGGGTGAAGGAAGTGACAGCAGCAGAAGGCTGTGTTTTTGTTGGTTTGGGGTTGGTTTTTTTCTTTTAATTTCTCTAAAAGAATGAGACAGCCTTGGCACTGATCTGCATTTTGAAAAGCTAGAACAAGGCTGTGTAAACTCTCCCACATCCTGCATCACCATGCCAAGCAGTGCTGAGACGAAGAGAGATGAGAAGTTGCTACAGCCTCTAAGAGGGCTCCTGTCCCTGCAGGTAAATTACAACCCAAATATGTTTTATCAAAGAACTATAAGGCCATGAAAACCACAAAACATAATTAACTTCTAGAAAAAAATCTGAAGTCTTAAAATAAATCTTTCACTTCCCTTTACTTCAAGTACTCAAAAAGGAATCTTGATTTGCTCAAAACTCATTTAAACAGAACAAAAAATATAGATTATGCATTGAAGAGAAAGAAAGCTTGTATCTTACAACTGTCTCACTACTTTTCCAGATCACTACTTTTCCAGATCACAACACAAACATAGGAGCACTCACACTGTCATCCTAAATTCCTTGCTCTGTGTAACAAATATTAGTAACATCAAGCACAAGTAGTGGATAACAAATTTTGTCAGTCTCTCACTCACAAGTTAGCTAACAAGAAATTAAATTCAAAAATGTAAACTGATGTGTTAAAGACCCTATACATAAACAAGTCTTTTCATGCAAAAATATCATGTTCAAATTAAAATTTTTGGATGCAGAACATGCCAATTTATTTATTTGTTTATTTAATCTTTCAATTACTGGATGACACCAAATCCATCTTCAGCCACTCTATGTAAAATCCCTCCCTGAAAACAGCAATAGTAGCTTTTACTGAGGCTCTGTGCTGTTGTCCAATTGCACACATTGCCCACACATCACTACTTGAGCAAAGTCTGCAGCCATAGTGCAGAAAGGCACACACAGAAAAACCTGAAAAGTTTCTCTGTGCTGAAGGATAAAAGGCAATTTAATATGCTGGTACCTACCACACAGCTGGTAAACGATGAGCACAACTCTTTCACTGGGCTTGTGCCACAGATGCATCATCTGTGCCACAGATGCATCATCTCCCATAAAGAAAAACTGCATAAAAACTGTACTACAGCATACTACATGCACAGCAGTCAAACTACTCGTGTTCCACACACATGTTTTTAGCTGCAGTGTGTCACCAAAACCATTCCTAGCCTAAAGCATGACAGCTTAAATGTTCAAAAAGACAACACTCATTTGTCATACAGTAAGAGTAAGTAACAAACTGCATCCTCACACAGCAGATGAACACTTCTCTTTTCTTGCAGAAACCTGTGCTATCCACTTATTCTAGGTAAGTGGAACTACTTTTACAGCTTATGAACACATCCCCACCACACCAAAACAACAGTGCAAATCCATTGATTCACCCAGCTGGAATTGACACTGGATGACAGAAACATCAGATGGTTGCTGGTTATGTATTTGGTGGAACTCCAGAATATTCATGAAGAAACTGTGGCACACAACCTGAAAGAAGGAATTCTGCAAGCAGCTAAGCACAGCAGAAGCTTCAGGTGGGGAGGTTATTGGCAAATCAGTGTGTATCTCCAGGGGATGATGGCCAGCCCTACTCTACAAACAATTTTTCTTAAGGGGAGAGTAAAAGTTACCTGTAAAAAGAAATTTTCCTAAAAAGACAAAGTATTTTTGTCATACAGAAGAAAGTCTGTGATACCCCTGTACTTCTCAGTCTATATGTAATAAAGCAGAAGAGAACTAAGAGAAACAAATGGATGCACTAAGAAACACAAATTTGAAAGCTGTATACCCATAATAAAGAATTTTCCCCTTCAATTTATTCAACACTTTGTACAGTTCTGCTCCAAAGTTAATATAATCAACATAAGAAGCAATAATACAACAAGCAGAAACTCAAACATTTATCAAACAAAAGCACCAAAAGCAAAACCAGAATAATTAGCTGAAGTCTATGCCTAAGATGAAAGTTATTCAATACTTTTTGCCCAAAAACTCCTTAGTAGAGTCAACCTTTGGGAAATAAAAGAGAACATTCCTTCTTTTTGTAATGAAAAATTTGATTGACATATTTTTCCAATGAAGAATTACTTAATTAAATAGCAGCAACAGCAATGTTAAAAGCAGTAACAATTTATCAGTCCTATTTCTTACAGTTTCCCTGTAAGTAGACTGTACACAGAACACAAAACAGAGGGGCAAGAGATGAGAGAGTAAAAAAGGAAAAAAAAGAAATAGGAAAAGAAAGAAAGAGGAAAAAGTTCTAGGGCATCCCAAGGCAAGAAAGCTTTTTCAGAATGCAGTTCTCCAGCACTTTTAGCAAAACTAAATTGTCACTCCCAATGAGCCAGTACTCTCCTCATGACAAACAGGCCTGCATCAGAACTGCCATTTAGATGGCTCTCAAAAACCAGTTCACAAATCTGATCCACCCAGAAAAGAACCAAAATTGCAAATGAAAAAAGTCACCTTCTGCTGGCAAGATATGCTCTGCAAACCAAGGTGTGAGTGCCTTGTCAACACAAACAGAAAAACAGAACTGTCAGTACAGTGATTTTGTGTAACCTCAGTTTCTGTAAAATCCCATTTAGTGTGCTTCATGATATTTTGAGATATGAAACCTGAAAAACACCTTTCTATCTTCCAACTAATGAGACCGTGACAGTCTAAACAGCTAGTACAATGCTCAGGAAAAAAATTCTAGCAAAATCAGAATGAATGGTACTTCTTTGAACAACAACAAAAAAAGAGCAAATTTTCCAGGCTGCCTTATTAAGACCTGTTCTTTTCATTACACAGTATGTTCTCTGTCACATCAATTTCTTGCTGTTACAGAATTTTGAATCATTCTCCTCGCCAGGGAGAAGACAAAGAAACTGTAACATAAACAGAAGGGCAGGTGTCTGTATCTCTATGCAGGGCATAAGTTAGGAAAAAGTAATTTTATTACTATTAATGAAGAAGTCCCCAGAACATCAGGATGAAGGTACTCTTTCATGAAGGACCACATTTTTCTGTACTTTTAAGTGAGAAATGTTTCTTATGCTTTTTCTCTAAGAAAACAAAGTAGGGAGGCCAAAAGGGAACCTGAGAGTCATTACTTCATTTAAGGATTTTAGTATCTACCATATTTGAAGCTAACAAGACAATAGAATCTTCTCTACAAAGTACTGCAGTGGCATCTGCTTCAGAAATTGCAGAATTCTTCTTTGCTGTATACACTGGAAACTCTTGGAAGACCAGCAGGGAACACTTAGACCACATGAACTGGTACCATTAAACTCCTCACCACCAGTACTAAATACCAGTGTTCAACAATAAAATATGGAAAAACATGAGTGTTCAGAAAAAAATATATAATCAACGAAGCTTATACTCCCTCGGTCTTTTAATAAACAATTTTAAGCCTGGTTGTTCTGTAATGGATTTAATACAGTGTCAGGAAAACCAAAAAAAGCAGTAAGTTCTTAAGCTTGTACATAAAACATTTTGCTGTACAAGAATAATACTTCATCATCACTCACAAAAGATCCAAACCAAAGATGGCCAAAATTATGATTAATATATCACAGAACAGAATACTAATTTTTATGAGACTGTTGGAAAATTATTTTAGCTGTTGTTAGGAATCAAAAGAAAACTCCATGCGATTTTTTTTGTGCTGTGAAGGAAAACAACAGAATTCACAAGACAAAAAACCCTCATTTGGTTAGCTGTTCCAAGAGAAGTCAAAAAATAGAAAAGATATAAAAGACACATTTGAAAAACTGATGTAGTTATCTGTTCTTGAAAATAGAAAGTAAATGGTCTTAAAGAAGTGAAAAAATAAGAACTGGTAAATTTAAAAAATAGCAATGAAAGAACACAACCAATTACATAGCCTATTTGTGGGCATCTGTTACTTTTCCATATTTCAAAATTCAGCTTAAAAAAAATTTTGCATCTCCAAAATTAAAGATTGGTCACAGAAATACAGGAGAACTGTCACCATAATGCTCTGAGGTCAAATTTCAGGACAGAATTCCATAGCCTTCTATGTTTATATTGATGATAGTAATGTAAAATGTAGATAAAAAGATAATAGTAAGTTGTCTAAAGCTGCCATTTTTAGATTTAAAAGTTAAGTTTTGGAACTTCACATTATGTCAAGTTTAATGATCTGTTTGGTTTGGTTTGCAGGAAATGGATGAAACTTTTCAATTTCCAGAGATCTCAGTAATAGCTTAATTTTCTAGTACCACATTTCATCAAAGACCTACCCAAAAAAAAAGTTGGTAAAGTCCAAAATCACTGATGTATATCTAAACACTTTGTCTGAACTCTTTTAAGCCAATTGCCTTATAAAAAGTGAAAGTATCATGTTACTCAAGATACAATGTCAAGTAAACTCACTACAGGAAGGACTTTGAGCGTGCCATATTTAAAGTAGTGGGGTTTTTTCCTCACTGCAATGTACACAAAAATTCCTCCAGTCTGTCTGTACTTGGTCTAGAAATCCAGCTATGTAACATGTAACTGCCAACAAATCCAAAGGCTAGAAAAATTAAAGTAATTAACAATGAAGAACAGGAAAAAATCACACCTTCATTCTAAAAAAACCCCACAAAACAGTAATGAATCCTTCTAGTCAGGTCTTCAACAGCCACATAAATTATCCTTTGCTAGACAGCTTTTATACTAGCCTCTTCTTGACATTTTTTAAAAACAGATAAACCTGATTCTCAATTTGGACACTATTTGGGACAGAATGAAGAGGTTATGGACTATTTTGAAATTTTATGTGAATTTCATTCATTTTCATGCCTTTAGAGCAAATTCAAATGTTTCTTACAGAGTATTCAGTCACCTGAGGGTTGGGAGGAATGTTCATTATTGGACTCATCTTCTGTCATTGAAATTGCCATGGCAATTGTTGAAGCAGCAATGGAAATCATCTGACCAGGAAGCTCTGCCCCTGTAAAATATATACATGCATGTGAGTAACAAAAAGCTTAAGCCTTAAAATGTTTTATTTGGTGTTAGATATCCACTGGAGCTGTCACGCAGCAGAATTTATATGCATGGATGCTGTGAGTGTTTAGTATGTATTATAAGTAGTTAATATGATCAAACAGGAATGAGTGCTATTAATTTTAGTATTATAATACACCTGCAGCCAGAACTCAAAACCAGTTATTTGCTTAGTGCTTTTCTTGATAATGAACTGCTACCAACCAAGACATTCACAGATGCTGACATTCTGATTATTAAAGTTTTTTTTATACCAGTTAATCATCTTTACTAACCAACTAAAACATCCAGACAGGAAAAAGGTTTCCTTCATCGGGAATTTACGATGACTTTGCGTTTTTCAAAACTGACTTGCAACAGGAAAAAAACTATTCTTCTCAAAATCTAAACACAAAACATATTTTTAAGAAACTTATTTAAAAATAAATAACTGGATATTGTAAACTTGCTGGAGGGAGTTATCTTGGTTTCTCTCATAGTCAGCATAATAGGAGCTAATAAACTCATATTCCTCATTTCTTTCAAAATTAGCCTCTGATTTCAAACATCCTGGGCTACCTTCATTCCCGAAATTATATATTGAAATCCATAAACTCAAGGAATTTGGCTCAATTATGAGTCTCTACTTTACCATGGAAAAGAAACATCAGTCCATGGCAATCACTTTCTGTAAAGAATCCAAGATTCACTTCAGCACGAGTAAACCACTTTGAAACACAATAAACATCCTATAGCAAATTCTTGCAATCCATATGCTATTGAATTTATGGGGATACAGTCCAGATTATTTCATGTGACTTAAGTGAATTTTTGCCTCCAACAGTAAAAGAAACAGTGACTTTTCCTTACCAGAAGACTCCTTTCCATTCTGCTGTTCATGCAACATGCCTACTGTCATCAGAACAACTATAACCAGAAATACAGGAATTCTCCAGGAACCTGCCACAGAAGCTGAAAGATACAGTGTTGGGATTTTTTTTTTAACAAGAAAAATTACACCATTAATAAACCCTACATTTAGCAAAACCAACAAAGACAGCACATCAATCAAAAAACAAAGAAGTCATAAAACAAACAGGCTCTCTACATTAAAGAAAAGGAAGAATAGAAAACAAACATGAACAAGTTTCTCAATGAACAAATCAAGTTGTTGCTGTTCCTAACTTCAGTGATATTATGTTGATAGAGAAGAATTTTGAAAACAACATTCAAAATCACATGAAAATACACACAGAATTAAAACATTTTTGATAACAGCAAAAAGTCATGTTCCCCCCAAAAATGTGTATTTATGTTAGATCTCCACAGAATGAGATTTTTCTTGGATTTTGCCTATTCAGCCTGTACTACCAGTAAATACAAGACTGTCAAAATTTAGGCAAATGCAAAGTCACTACATATAGCTTAAATCTCAGGGAAGCATACCCACGTGGTGAGAACCCTTGAAACCTGCTGATAAAGTAAAGTAAATCATGAGGTACACTGTGAAACCTTCTTTCATGGCAGTCTTCTATTAACAGCATGATTCTTCCACCATAAACTCTGATATGAGAACATCTATTATATTAAATGTGTAACACAAATCTAAAAGATTATAGTAATCTTATAGTTGTATTAACAGATTATAGAGATTACTGGCAAATGTATTTTATACTGCTGATATGATCCTGATATGCTTGTTGACTACCAACAGAATTTTTTTTTTGCTTCTGTTACAACTATTAAACACATTTTGCAGCTTCAGCCTTGGTTAATGGCAGGCTTTCAATAAAATATCACAAGTGAATGTCTAAAGCCAGCCTCATGTGACCCCAGCCGTTCCTCACTGTCAAGAAGTTCACATTGTCTGTGAACCAAGTAAGGGGAAAGCATGGGAAGTACAAAGGCATGAGGAGTGGAAGACATTGCTCAGCATCTTGATGCCTTCCCACTCCCTACTCTAATGCTCCCTTCTGGACCACAATTACTGAGCAGACAAAATAGCTTGCATTTCATCTAAGACTATTTCACAGATTTAGCAGAAGAGCAAGTGAGGAGCTTTGTTTGCAGAACCCTCAGTTATCAGAATAATAACTTCTTGTTACTCACCTAAGTGAAAGAGCAGCATAATCCAGACAGGAACAGAGATTGCTTTTAAGTAACGTTCAGTGCTTATATTCCACTTGAATGAAACCATCAGCAGGTAACCAACTACCAGTGTCCATATCTTTAAGAAAAAGATACACACAGGTATGTATACATATATCAAAAGAGAGCTCTACTGTACTCATGTTTGTGTATACACTCATGCACACACCCATAACTGTCATAGACAGAGAACTGAAGTCAGCTTGTAAGCCTTTAAGAAGCCCACATTTTAATTAATTATATGAGTTCATCAGCAGCACCTATGTGGCCACAAGGAGACAGAGCTGGCCAGCACAGCATGCTGCACTCATTCCAGCATGGAGCAATTTGCCAGCTCCTGTGTTTCAGTCCAAAGAGACAAAAGGGAGCTTAAGCCAAAGAAGCCATTAGGAAGCACAACAAAAACTGCTGTCCCTCAGTGGTGCCAGTTCACAAAACAGATGCCTTTATAGGACATGTAATTTTTTCGTTTTTTTAACTAAACAAACCAAAGACAGGAAGACATCAGTGACAACTTGGGTTTGCTGCTTCTAAGTGCCTTCTACTACTCTACTCATCAGATAAATCACAATACAGATTTGGAGTTAAGAATCTTGAGATGATGAATTTGAGCTGAAAAGAAAGAAGAAGGAAGGAAGGAAGAAGAGGTAACAGGAGGTGAAAAGCTGCTACTCAGGAGAGGATGTGAAATAAAAGAAGTACGAATACCTGTAAAAATTAAAACCCAGTGTTTCATTCTTAAAATAAATAACTGAAGGCATTTCTGGCTCAAATTCAACGAACATTGCCTATCCATTACCAGTTAAGTACACTTTCAAATTTACACTTATAAATCCATAAATACCAATGAAGTTTGAATAGAATTTCTGTTTGAAGAGAATTTGCTGAATCAGACATCACTGTAAGAAGGAAGAATGCACAGGCAGAGACACAGAACAAGCAATTAGGAAAAACACAGCACAGGAGTTTTCACCTCTACTCTGCACTATACAACTCATGCTGAAAACACAAGTCTCTGAAAAGCAGGTTTGAGTGGCTACTGCCACATACCTAACTGGTGGAGCGAAATCTTAACTGTACTGAATTGAGCAGACAAGCAGTGAGTGATGTCCTGATAACTTCAGAGGGAATGATTGAATATGCAAGATTATGTAAAATCACATGTGAACAAAGGTATGCCTGCCCTTTGCACACTAATGCAGACTCAAAATAATTGTCTAAAACTAACACAACCCGTGGACATCAAGACTAAAGTCACAAACAAACAGAAATTTTTACCAGAAATGCACAGTAGCACTCCTTTAATAGGTTGAAACATAAATTCACTTAAAGGGCACTTCACAGCCCAGCTCTAATTGCAAGAGATAACTCATCACAAAGATACTATCCCACTCCCTAACATCAGCCATACAGCATCTCTGTATGATGAACATTCCAGTTCCAAGCAGATTTTCTCATTAGCTTTTAAATTTAATGATAAATTACAAACAGGAGACTCAGTGCGTTCAGTAATTTAAACTTTCTGTTTAAAAACAAGTAGGAGGCTAACAGGGTATAAGCCTATGTTTAACAGCCAACAAAGCAAAACACACCACACTGGTTTTATCCATGCATGTAGCTGAACATAATAGGGCTTAGGTATTTAATAATTTTTTTGTGTTTGAAATTAAAATAATTAATAAGTTATCATTTCTAAAAGCTTAGCAAATGATCCAAGCTGAAATCTTTATTTCCATTGAATAGACAGAAATTGTTTACTTTTAAATAAATCAGTCACCCTTTTTCAGAGATCAAACAATAACCTTCCTGAAGCTCTCTAAAAAGAACTGTGTAGTCAACTGACTGGGGCAAGAAGTTTAATTTCAGTGACACCACAGAATAATCAGCTCTTTATTGGTTAGTGTTATGGCCAAGCACATCCCTAGACTGCAAGAACCAGTGCACAGGAACTAGGGTAGCCTAATTCCAACAGTTCAGAGCTGAAAGCAACCGACAAGATAAATTAACTTAAATTGACATGGACTAGGATTTCATCCCATACTGACTTGGCAACAGCATACTTTTTTTTTTCCTTAACCCTTTAAAAGCATGTTACATAATTCTTCCCATTGTTTTTCTGGATGGTCTCCAAAAGTTTTGGCTTGAAAAGCATGGAGAATATTAATAGTCTCTCTCTATTATATGTCATTCTCAAGAACTGACATAATTGAAACAAAGAATGAAAGACTGCCTACTTTCACTAAAATTAAGCTACTGCAATTATTGCACTGAAACTGTAATTGATAAGGTTCCATGCTAAGACAAAATGCCTATAAATTTAATTTATAAGGGTGTACAGCTAACCAGGTAACTAATACATACATTTCAGATTTTGCAGAATGTGTTAGCTATCATCAACTATTTATCAAGCTGAAATCAGTTGCAGACCCTAACTTTCACCACGTACTCTGAGATTTTAAATCACTCCTTAATCACAATTATTATTTACAGGCATGCACAACTTCCATATATTCCAACTTTGGGATAGTTTAATCCTGCAAGCTGCCCTTCTTCCTTCCCTTGCCTATCTTAACAGAAAGCCAAGACATCATTCTTCACATCTCCTCTGCTACATTTTGCAGCATCTCTCACAAACTGAACTAAGTGTTGCTTTGCCTTTAGACATGCAAAACTGCCCACTTTTGTCAATAAATAGTGCTAAGACTGCAGAGTCTTGGATTTTAGCATCCATTTCTGTGTTAAAGTGGCAAATTTAAGAGGCAGATTTAGAGACATCTAAGGCAACGATGAAGGGCTTTAGTTCTCTTTAAATTGCCAACTAGAGACAAAATTAGACCATAGAAAGATGCAACTTTTGCGTTAAACTCCAGCATCTGCTTCAGTGATTTTTCTTTGAGATTTCAGTGCTGGAAAGTCAAGGATTTATCAGCATAAACCATCACAAACATTACTAAAAGTTTGTTTCTCCTTGCTGTTGAAGAAATTGAAGGATTTGAAAATCGGAGACACTCTTTTGGCTTTGACCTCATTTTTCAAGAACAAACTCTACTCAACTTTTGACAACATTTATACTGATTTATGTTGGAGAGTAAAATCCCTTATTTACACAATTCACTCTCCTTTTTCCTATCAACAAGTTAACCTCTGTGGGGAATGTTTTGCAGATGAGTGCATTCAATAGCTCACTGCTACTGGAAGTGGCAACTCATTATCTCCTATTGCCAGCTGGGCAGTCCCACCTCTTCTGCACAACAGCTTCAACATTCATCCAGCCAGCTCAAGATCCCTAAGCTCATAAAAAACTACCTGTAATTCAGTTATAGCAAAATAAGCTCACAGAAGTATGGCAGGCACCAACAACACGGCAAAAGAAGCATATGCAGAAGTGGAATAGGCAAGAAGAGCTTCCCACTGCAAAGCTGTTGGAATGATTTAGTCTTCCATGGAATGCTGCCCCAACACCTCAACATCCAGCAGAAAACACATTTCCCACCTGCTTCATGTGCCTTCTCAGGCACATGTGGTTGTGACAGCCTGGTCAGAGAGAGAAAGCTAGATAAACTTTCCCAGGAATTGTTCTGGGAAAAGCTGTGAGAAGCTCAGAGAAAAGAATTCAAACAATTCTTATCTTAAGGCTCTGCAGCTGGTCTTTTGAACAGTTGTTTCTCATTAGATGTTTACCAAAGGGTAATTGCCAACAGTGTCTGTTTTAATTACAGGACCAATCAGGTTCACCTGCATCGGAACCGTGTACAAAAAGAATGGGCTTCCTAATAAAATCATTATTAGCCTCCTGGAGACCTGGAGTCTATGTGCCACTCATTCACCCATTCCTGACCCAACAGTGACAGGCACACGGTATGATTCTTGGCGTGGTCCTGTACAAGGCCAGGAGTGGGACTTCAGTGATCTTTCTGGGTCCCTTCAACTCAGGATATTCCATGATTCTATGAACCACTCCACAAGTAAACACAGTGAAGACTGAGAAGATGAACCAATAGCTAATTCTTTTAATACATGCCCTGCCAACCTGCCAAAATGTTTCAGTTTTTAACAAGTCAGCACCTAGAAAACAGAGTCTGAACTCTTTCCTTCTCTTACTGTAGCTCTACTCTCTCCCCTGGCCATTTTGAAATGATGCTTTTTCCCTGGCTGCTCTTTCCCACTTGGAAATCATACAGCAAGGTTTTTAAGAGTCTGATTTAGGTTTTGGTTTGTTTGGGGGATTTTAACTGAACTTTAAATTAAACTGTTTGATGGATCTACAGATCTAATTCAAATTGCTTTCTATTTTCCAGTCTCAGTTTTTTGAAAAGGAAAAAAAAAAAAAAGGAAAAAAAAGGCCAAACTACCTCAACAGTTCCCTTTAATATTTTAAAACAAAATTTTCATTTGGAAATAGAGATTTTAATTAGCTTTTCTCAAAATAAAAAATTATTTAAAACATTGACCAAGCATTAACACAGCACTTTTGCAAACTTTTAAAACAGCTCTGCAGAGCAAAGATGGTTTAAAGAGGTGATCCTATGACACCAGTTCGCTATTTCTACATCTCCCTCCTCAGTGGAGATGCAGGCTGACAAAGGAAAATGAACCCACCACAAAAGCTGAGCAGAAGAGCATTGGACTTGAAAAATGAAGTGGCACAAGGCATTAAATGCACTGCTAAAAGCCAAACTGTGTTTGCCTTCAAAAAAATCAGTGTTTTCTTTATCTGCCTGTTCATTTGAAAATTATTTTCTAAACAACATAAAGGATAATAAGGAGGTAGGTAACAAATTATGAAGATGTCATTTTGATTCCAGTTTCCAGAAGCAAAATTAATTTACTGTAGCTTTAGTGCAGTTTCATTAGTACACAAGAGGAAACATCCCATAATGTGCAGAACAAGTGTGTAACAGCCTGTCCTTAAGTAAGGAGGCAGCCTTTATCAAACATAAGAAAATACCCAAACTGCAGCTAATCACACAAGACTATTTTTCACCTCAGAGCACAGACAAGCACCTCCTCCCTTCACTTAGGAGGCCTTTATTTACCTAGAGCAGGTTCTAAGTGGACACAAGTAAGTTATTCCTTGCCCCAAGTCCAAAGGACTTGAACTGTGTGCCCAGACTTTTTCTTCTAGAGCCCCCAAACATGACATATATCCATGCTGGTATTTCTGGCATTAAAAAAACACAGACTAGTAAACCACATGAAACAGAAACATGGTGTTCAGTGAGATCACCCCTTTTTGAAAGGATGAAAGTATGAACTTATAACGAGAACCCTGGGGCAGGGGGAAACAACCATTAAAATAGTACTGCCACACAGGGGCTGAAAATTATTTTCAATGTGTCCTGCAACATTTCCTACACTGAATTTAAAAAGAAAACATAAAACCTAAGATATCCAGAAGACTGAAGCAATGTATGTTGAGAATACTTCTCATTTAGTTCACTTTTCCTGTCTTAATACAAAAGCTACTTATGAGAAACTAGTAATAAAAATGCTACTCAGAAATCAAATGTATTAAGAGTCTCTTCCAAAAAGAGGCTTCCCAGAGAACATCAAATTCTTTCCTTGCAGACAGAGCACCACTCCTCTGACATATTTCATGGTAACACTTGAGGAGCAAGAGATGGCTCCTCAACACACACAATTTCTTCACCTTCTTCTTTTATTATATAGACCACAGTTAAAATTTTGCTGGACAGTTCCATAACAATCATTCCTTTCAGAGATGCTGGAAAAATATACATCATTGTGTTCAACTATACAAATACATACCAGTAAATAGCTAATATTATGTAGCACATATCATTAGGCCTTACGCTGCTGCCAGCTTTGAGGCTGTAGTTCCTGCATGTAATTTGGAACAAGCTCCTTGGCTTCTCCAAGAAAGGTATCTCACTGCAGGCTCTTCCAAAACTGAGGGTGGGTGTGTGGAAGGCAAAAACAACAGTAGAAAACACTATCAACATCCCAGACTCTCCCTGCCTCTCCCCATCTTGTTTTTAAACAGGCCACATGTGGTCTCTACATAGTTTATCTCTACCACAAAAAGTTGTGAAAGCACACCAAAATCTGTGGTTTTGGTAAGATGTGTTTGCAGTCAGTATTTGGCTGCAACATTTATAAGCCAGGATACCATAATAATAAAGGATAATAAACAGCAGAAAGAATACTTGAGAGCTTCTCAGGCATTTGTTTTGGTTTGGGAGTTTTTTAAGGTGGACAAGACTGCTCTAAGAAGAAAAGGAAGGAAAAAAAAGCCCACTTATGCTAAACCCTCAAAGAAATAGAAATTTTTTGTACACACATTAAAAATCAGAAGTGTGCCCTTTTCTTTAACAGAAGAGAAATTGCCCCATCAGGTGAACTCAACAAAACATAGATGCTTTTTTGCCTCCACAGGAGATATTCAATAAGACTGTGGAAGCCAAACACCTCAGAGCATGAAGAATACTTGGAGAATTTCAGTCTGCAAGGGCTGCTGGGGGAGTGACACTTAGTGCAACATAAATGGAGGTTCCCCTGGTGGATGTCTTGCACAGAATCCCTGATGGGGGCAGACAGTACACCAGCCAAAATAGGCAGCATGTACTCTGACAATATTCCAATACAGCAGTCATGGCAATGGTGGGCAATAGTGTTTCCAGATCTGCCCAGCACCATGGTGAGGATAAGACTGATTAAGTGCTCTAACTGCATGGAAATCCCCAGAACAACATGAGTTGTACCTCATACAGTCAGAGACATAAAAATACACTGATGCACACATGTGACTACACTGTTGTGAGCCTGCAATAACCTCTGACAAACCAAGGAAGAAAGACTGGCCAGAGAGGAAGATTTCAACAGCCCTGTAATCAAGTTCACTACAGAGGATTCTGCTCATTATGATTACATCAAATTTAATTTACGAAGATGAACCTCGGGGCCAACACAGAGCAGCTGTATTTATAATTGTTATTATTTATAAATGTTATAATTCTTAACATCTGCTGGGATCTACAAACTATCTTGTTTCCCAAATAAATATGAGCACATAAATTCTTCTTCTAAAAAAAGAAGAAAATATAATGAATTGCTGGAATTGGATATATATTAACTTAAGTGTAAAACATCAGCCTAAAGTAGTTTGAACTCTTGCCACAAAGCAAAAGAATTTGGTTTTTAGATAGAGTGCTGGACATAGGCCCAGCTCCTACAAAACTAGTGAAATTGCTGCAGCCCAAAAGTATGTAGGACTATATTCAGTCCACTATAGGACAAACTCCCACTCTTTCCAAGAAAAAAACTATAGAGAAAAACATTCCCCTTCCCTAATATATGAAAATGCTGTTTGTGCAGGGTCCTCTGCATAAGAATTCTGCAAATAACCAAAAGAAGGCTGGAGTCAGAACAAGGAACTCATCTGGAATTTTTAACCAGCCTCTAATTTAAGGCCCAGCAGCCAACTACATTTTTTGAGCAAGCTTCTTCAAAGATGATAAAGCCTGAAGGAGAACATGGGAGCACGATGCTTGTAGACTAGCCTAAGAACTTGAACTTGTTCTCCAAATGCAGTGTTTTGCAATCAGCTATCAAACAATCCAGTCATGGAGGTACCCAAATTCCTGAACTGCAGGTGTAACTTAAGAGCCACCGACGGAACACAGGCACTTCTGAATCTTGACTCATCAACGCCATCAATGGCTTTGCCAGATGTGAGGACAGCAGGACAGGAAAGCTCCCTAACATACTGGTGCCAAGATACGCCTTACCATGTCATTGTCACATGCAATTTCTGCCTTTAAAGAACTTTCTTTTTTTCTAGAACTTAAGAGGAGAGTTTCTGTCTCAGTATCATGGCCTAGTAGATACCATAAAAATACCTTTAGTTAGAGAATAACAAATCAGTATTCCAAATGCCCATAATTCTAATGATAGGCATCGCTCACTTTGCTAGCACAGGAGAGGGAATCAGAAAGGGAGAAGACAATCATGCATACAGAAGGAACCATGGAGGATTCAGAGCCAGAGAATAATGGTACAATGGAGAAACCAACTCGTAATATCCCAAATTCCTGTGCAGCTAACAAGCAGAACATATGCATGCAAATAGAGCCCTGCAATATAACACGGCAATTAAATGGCTTTTAAAGTGCTTAACTGAAGTTAAAACTGGCACTATTAACTGATCCAGCTCAGGGCTCCTCAGCAGCATGGATAAAATTAAATTATCCTGCTACAGCTCTGAGATAACACACATCAAGCGCTGCAAAATTAAAAAAACTGGACTAAGAAAACACTGCAAAGTGTACAGATGATGCCAGACCGAGCAGCAGCTATTTACAAAGGAAAGCCCAAATTTTTTTTCTCCTATAAGGCCCCAGAAAGAGACACAGACAGCTTGCCTAGAAAGCAACTGGTTTGCTTAAGGAACTCTGTGATCAGTTACCTTGACACAAACCCAAAATCTTCCCAAGTAACTCACGTCTGAAGAGTTCTGGGAGCTTACTATGTTTTGTGCAGTTAATATCCTACCACAGTTCAATGAACATCAGTGTTAAATCAGAAGGATCAGAGACTGCTAAACAAGGTTTCACTGAGCAGGCACAGACATCCAGCAGTGCATTACAGCCATAGTTACAAGCCTCAGTAAGTGCAGCTTCCTTCAGTACCCTTATATTTACACAGCATTAAGTATGGCTTAATTAAGAAACTTTTATTAAAAGCCTGGACTTAGCCAGATCAGTTAGTACAGCAATATTATAGATTTGTTAAAAAGAAAACAAAGAGGTCAGTGCAAAGTTCTTAAAAAAATCTTAAGCTTACCAAGCAAATTGTGTGGCAACAAGTCAAAGCTTCCCACTAGTACCAGGCCATGCTTTAGCTCTGTTACTACTCAGCTGAAAGTGAACATGGTAGTATTTTGCCTCTTTATAAAGAGAGAATGTATCTCTGTCTATTCAGTCCTAATTATACTTCTAAGGACAGAACAGACCAGAAACACATGTCCTCTGACATCTTCCAGGACCAAATAAAGTCAAGAAAATCTTTTCCCCCAGTGTTTACTTTCAAGAGGCTAAACACATTCTTCTGTCCATTCTATTCAGACTAGAGGCAGTCTGTCAAAATATTCTCTGGCAGTCCATTCAGGAGCACTGCTACCTAGAGAAAGGGCATACTTTTTTTGTTTAAAAGACAGAGCCACTTTTGAAAAGTCTTTGACACTAAGAAACCTGAGCATGCCAGTTATACATCAGTATTTAACAAAAGTACAATTTACTGATCTGACCTTTCACATATCCATTTGCTTCTGATACGTAGCACTTTTTGTATTTTCAGTTATAAGCAACAAAATGTAAAAGAGTTCTGCCAGAAGTTCTAACTATGCTACCTACTGAACAGAACGCAAGGAAAAGTAGTCTCCCAGCATTCGTTAGCATCAGTAACATTTTCTAAGTTAAACAGCTTTACTTTTTAAAGTTCAAATTGCCTTTGCACTGTTTGATACGCTAAGAAGAAAAAGAAAACCCTACACAGTACACCGAGAAGTAAGCCTTAAGGCGCCTTCCCCCATCCCGGGTCACTTGTGGAGCGGCGCTGCTATTTCGCAACACTTTAACACACACCTTAGAACTCAACAAGCCTCGATGTTTACCCAAGAGCTCGCCTGAATCACCTCTGACTTAACAGCATCTCCAGAAGCGGGACATGCCTAAAGCGCGGCCGCGGAACACCGACACTCCCTCAGGCACTCACTCACCCACTGGCTGCTGAAGTAGTCGAGCCCCTGGCAGATGATGCGGGCGGCCTGTGCCAGCAGCACCTGCACGCCCAGCGAGCTGCCCAGGCAGTAGAGCCCGTAGAGCAGCGGGCCCCCGGCGCCCAGCAGCAGCAGGAGCCGCCGCCGCCGCAGCACCTGCTCGCCCAGCGCCTCCACGCCGTAGTTGGCGAAGCAGATGGGCAGCAGGAGGGCGGCCAGCAGCACCGGGGTGCGGGAGCGGTGCAGGCGGCCCAGCCAGCGCCGCCCCAGCGCCGTCAGCGAGGTCTTGAAGGGGTGCAGGAAGGTTCCGCAGAGCACGGCCCAGAGCAGCGGCCGCAGGAACGCCTCCAGGATGAAGTACACGAGGACGGCGGCGCCGCAACACAGCCCCGCAAACAGCAGCGCCCCGGTGTTGTAGAAGGCCTGCTTGATCGGCTTCTCCAGCCGCGGCAGCGACATTCCCGCCGCCCCGCCCTGGCCGCCCAGCGGCAGCCGCGGCATGGCCGCACCCGCGCCAGGGGAGCCGCCCGCCCGCCGCTCCGGCACCGGCGAGTCCGGAGGGGCCGCGGCGAGACCCGCGTCCGGAGCCGCGGCGGGACCGGCGTCCGGAGCCGCGGGCTCCGCGCTGTCAGCCATGGCGGGCACGGGCACGGCCGCCGCGGGCGGGCGCGGAGCGGGGCCGGGAGTGCCCGGGCGGTCGTGCCCGAGGGCGCGCAGGGGCCCTGGGCTGTAGTGCCGCCGCCGCGCGGCTCCGGGCGTGCGCCCAGCCCGGCGGGAAAGGGGCGGTGCCGGCCGGGAAGCGAGCTGGGAAATGTAGTTCTGCTCCGGGAGAGAGGCGGCCGTGCTCACCGCACCCGGCAGGAGCTGCGGGGCTGTGCCCGGGCCCTGAGCCTGCCCCGTCCCCGCCGAGCACGGGCCCAGCGCCTTCGTGGCGTCCACTGAGGAAGGCGGCCAAAGGCTGGAGCGTGGAAAAGCCCAGCAGCTCGCGGCGCAACCTCATCCCCATCCCAAAGTGCAGCCCTGTCCTGCTTCGCTGAACGCTCTGCTCTCCCTACTGCTGCTGCAGTCTCGGGGAGCGGAGCAACTTCGGAGATCTGGAGTCATTGCATGCTGGAGAGCAAGACTGGTTGGACCAGCTGGAGAATTTTGTCTCGTCTGAACACGTTCTGGCAACAAATCGTTTAACAAAGAAGCGTCTGCTCTTTTACTGGCAGTCAGGCCCACTGAAGAAGTATTGTGCTGTGTGGTTTTTTAGACCTGACATTTATGACACTGTACCATCAAATGCTATTTGCAAATAATCTAGAGAGGCGCTAACTTCCTGCAGCTGGCATACACCAAACACCTGAGTGCAGCCATGAAGGCAGCTGCTAACATTCTGCAGGTGGTCTAAATGCATCTGTAACAAATACACATGGTCTGAGCAAGTTTTGCTGAAATCCATAACATTTGAACTAGCTCAGTGCTGGCACTGTGCTACTCAAACAGTTTTCCTTCCATGGCTTAAGAAAACCCTTCAGAAGGTACTAAGGCTATTGGTAATGCTGCCATAAAACCCTCAGAGGGATCTTCCCCTTTCTTTTCAAGGAGGTAGAGCTTATAGTCTTAATCATAATAAAGAGATCACATACCACTGAACATATAAAAAGTACATAGATGTAAAAAAAAGAGGAAACTGATCAAATTTCTGTATTTTTTAGAATTTGCATGCAAGTTTAACTTCATGTAACTTCATGTTAGATTGGAGTCCACAAGAACTTTAGTGAAGCATTTCTTGCATGACGGATATGTTAAAAAGCTGAAATTATCCTGAGCACAATTGTCTTTAACCTGTAAAGTGGGAATTCTACACCTATTCATACCTAGCTTTTAAATGCAGAGCAGTACCAAGACAATGGCTAGATGTGATCTATCGCTATCATAATACCAAGGGTGAAAGGGAGAGGTGTTTCCACACCCTTCCTGTGACTATGTTGCATCCTGAAGCTGTAGGTGAGGCTGGGCCCAAGCCAGTTTTTGACGTTCAGCACTGCAGTCCTGACTTGTCCCCACAAAGCCTTTCCTGCCAATTATGCAGAAGTTTACACTTGCAAAGGTTCCTCTAAGCTCCTGCAGCTCCTTGTTTTCCCTTTGCTGAATAGATCACGTGCAGGTTCAACAAAGTAATTTTATGTCATGAAAGCACTTACAAACCTACAGGCACTTTGTTTGATCCTGATGAGGCATTACAAGCAGTTGTCCATACAAGAAGCTTCTATTGAACCTTAAACTGATACTGTCACTCACAGCTCTTTGATCAGATAAATCTGCTTCCTGGCAGGGTGCTGAAGTAGGTAACAAGAATGCATCATTACCTGAACTTTCTCTTTAGTTCAGAAGCCAAACTCTAATTGCTCATTACAGTACCTTTATTGCATTAAAGTTCAATTAGCAAGTGTCAATTAAGATTTACACGGGGGAGAGTGGAGAATTCTAATCCTTCTGTTAGCCAAACAGAGATGCCAGCAAATCAAATCTTCATAGGCACATCTTTATTCCTTTGATTTTTCTTAACAGACTCAGTCAGCCATGTTCTGCATGAACAGAAATTAATGCCACCTCCTTGACTTGAGTGAAGCTATAAATATTGTTTTACATAAGCCAAGGATCTGGTCCCTACTGTTTAAGACCTTTCCAATTATGCTTTCCACTCTCCATTTTAGACAACTAAACATATTAGAAGGGAAAAAAACCCAACAATTTAATAAAATAAAGATTTCTAATTAATGTATCACCACAACAGGATTACTTAAGAACAGGGACATGACCCACAAGCGTCAGAAAACAATCTCTGAATCTTTGACAGCTGAGGGGAGGATGTGTGATTTTCACAAGACACACCCCAGCATCTAAAGCTTAACTCCACAACAGATTTCAAATAGCAACTTCACAGCTGGTTTTGCCTAAGATTTGAAATGGTAAGAGATTTTAGAATAGATGTGCATAACTTGCACAGATACATTCGATTTAGGCATTTTTATGGTCAAAGATAAATAGCACACCTCAGGCTCCTATACTGCCAGAAATTCTACAACAATCTCTTTGATTATATTTTTCCAATTAGGAAATCTTCAAAGGAAAAGAGGACAGCAAAGGAATGCTTTCACATCCATGGAGAAAATACATACGTACCTCAAAGTACATGGGATAAGTATTGATAGTCTTTGGTGCTCTCCTAATACCTCCTACCTAAAATCAGGTATTAATTAGTAAAAGAGAAACTTGTAACTTCTGTCTGCTTCCATGCTAGCACCCACGATTTTGTGCTCTGAACTGACACCTTTTGAGTCCTGTTCAAGAGGTCAGAGACACCTCTAGCTCTTTATTCACTCAATGTGCAGTCAACATAGACCAAAGTTCCAAGCTGTTTTACACATGGTACCAAAATACTGTGCATTGAGGCAGCCACAAAGCAGAGGAGATAGACAATGCCAGCAACTGCAAGTTAATCATTATTTACAACCAAAATAACCACATGGAGCTATGAAATAAGTCAGGAACAAAGCCACAAGGTGTCAGCACTGGCCTGTGTATTTAGAAAATAACTATCCCTGCATGAGACACTATTTGTTTTAACCTGTGTTACTGAGCATTTGCAAACATTCAGTTGAGGCTAATCTCACTTCATAAATTCTCCTCAATTTAATGATAAAGTAATAGCATCTTCAGATCAATGAAAAATACTTAATGTAAACTATTATAGTTTCACTAGTACCAGAAGCTAAGAAAAAAAAAGTTAAAGTCAATTATTTAAGATACAACATTTGCATCTTTAGATCATCTGCATATACCTTTGCATTTTGGGCTAATGAAAAAATTATTATTTTATGCAGCTCAACTGCTAAGATGAGAAGGCTCCAAATTAAATGTCATTTACAAAATATTGATGAAAATGAAAACCAATCCTTGGGAACACCATGTCTGATTGCACTCAGTGATTATAGCCTGACTTTATTGCAGAAACAACTTTGTTCAACATCTCAGTTAAAGTGTACAAAATTATCAGCAGAGCAACTCTTGAATGATTCACACAGAAGACTGAATCTTGTTCAGTTAACAAGGGGAATGAAATGCATGGTTGTAAGGCAGAGTGGTCAATAGCACCGACACAAAAGTGTTCAATCACTGGAAAAAGCATACAAAACAGCAGCAGTAGGACCTGTGGATGGACAAAATCCGGAGCACTATCTTTCATGGTTATCCCATGTGATAACTGTGTGCACAGAACATGAGCTGGATATACAGAGATCTGAGTAACAGAGGAATGTTTGGGATCCATCAGGTTTTGTGACAAATTCCTCACCAGTCCATCAGCTGTCATGTAATGCAAGACAAACAGAATATAATTTAAATAGATTTGGTAAATGTAATGCCTCTACTGATCATGATGCCTTGGACAGTGCACAAGTAGCTGACACACACAAGATCCATCCTTTCTTGCAGCCTGCAGCTACAGGCTTGCAATAATACTACAAACACATCAAGCAGACCACACAGTGTAAAAGCAATACATTTCTTGTTGCTCTGAGCCAACTTTCCTTCCCAGTCCAACAGTAAGGAGGAGTAAGGAGCTGAAATACCTGCTGAAACCTTAACCATCTCAGAAATTGAAGCATCCCTGTTTGAGAGACTAATACAGCTAGTTTTGCTTGCTAAGTATCATGGCACTTCCTCCTCTTTGTTATGATTTTCTATTATACTTTCATTTTCTTCTTTTTGCAAAAGCCTGTTCTGGCTGCTTCAGAAGCTATTCTGGCAGAGGAACAGGGCAGTGATGACAGTAGATAAAGAATATCCAATTTGTAATATTGCAACTTGATCATATTTGTATCAAATAGTAACAAAAACACAGCACAGAGGTCAGCACAGGAACCTCTAAATTCTACATACTTATAGCAGTTGACAGTGTGATTAATACTTTGTTGAAATAGAAATGATCACATTTACTTACAGCTTCATTGTGATTCTCATAGTGGAAAAAAAAAAGGCAGTCTTCTCACATCTGTTAATTTGCTAATGACCAGCCTCACTGACTTAAATGGAATTAGGCTAACAAATACAAGACCATGGCATGGGAAGGAATTATTAACATAGGCAGCGCAGAGGGTTCTTTAACCTCATGGAGACTTTTTTTCCCCTTTATAAATGCCATACACACATTTTCTTAGACTAAAAAGGCATTTATTGCAACAGTTTTATAAATATCATTGTCTGTCACTGTCAAATAGCTAACAAGGCTCACTTGAACACCAACATTTAGTATAAAACAGATGTTACAAAGCAATACTTTAGGGCATGCACGGATTGTAAAGTAGTCTCATAGGTCACTGTAATTTCATTATCTATTCACTCAGTGTTATTTTTGCTGAAAAGACTAGAGCACAAAGAAGTTTGGCAAATTCTTCTGGACTACAAAATCTCCATTCTGCACTCCTATCCAACCAAATGCTCATTGACTTCACATGGCTGCTGGGTGTTGGCATACAGAATGAAGCCTGGCATGGAGAATGCAGAAACACCACTTAACACTATAGTTACAATTTTCTTATTTGTATGTTTTATCTGTATATTAGTCTTGACAAAGAACTTAATAAATT